AGACCAAATTTAAGAGTCATTGGGATACAGGAAGGGACAGAGTTTCAAACCAAAGGAATGAGCAATCTATTCAATGAAATAATACGAGAAAACTTCCCAGACTTGATGAATGAGACAGAACCCCAAATCCTAGAAGCCTACAGGACGCCGAATGTGCAAAATCATAAGAGACCCACACCTAGACACATTATAATGAAGATGCCCAACATACAGAATAAGGAGAGAATTTTAAAAGCTACAAGAGAAAGGAAGCAGATCACATTTAGGGGTAAGCCAATCAGGATAACAGCTGATCTTTCAACACAGACTCTGAAAGCTAGAAGATCCTGGAATAACATATTTCAAACACTGAAAGAAAATGGGTTCCAACCAAGAATTGTGTTTCCAGCGAAATTAAGCTTCAGGATGGAAGATGAAATTAAAACCTTCCACGATAAACAAAAGTTAAAAGAATTTGCAGCTAGAAAACCATCTCTTCAAAATATCCTTGGCAAAACATTGCAGGAAGAGGAAATGGAAAATAACAATGAAAACCAACAGTGGGAGGTAGTGCACTAAAGGGGGGAAAATAATCAAAGAGGAAAACAAACCATGTTTAGTAACATAAATAAACAAATATGGCTGGAAGAACAACCCATATCTCAATAATAACCCTAAATGTTAATGGCTTAAACTCACCAATCAAGAGACACAGGCTAGTAGAATGGATCACAAAACAAGACCCAACAATATGCTGCCTACAGGAGACGCATTTGATAGGAAAAGACATACATAGGCTGAAGGTGAAAGGTTGGGAAAAATCATATCACTCATATGGACTTCGGAAACAAGCAGGAGTATCCATACTCATATCAAATAAAACAGATTTCAAGCCAAAGTTAATCAAAAGGGATAAAGAGGGACACTACATACTGCTCAAGGGAACTATACACCAACAAGACATAACAATCATAAATATATATGCCCCAAACAATGGTGCAGCTATGTTCATCAAACAAACTCTTCTCAAGTTCAAGAGTCTGATAGACCACCATACAATAATCATGGGAGACTTCAACACACCCCTATCACCACTGGACAGATCTTCCAAACAAAAGTTGAATAAGGAAACTATAGAACTCAATAACACAATTAATAACCTAGACTTAATTGACATATATAGAATATACCACCCAACATCAAGCAGTTACACTTTTTTCTCAGCAGCACATGGATCCTTCTCAAAAATAGATCATATATTATGTCACAGGGAAACTCTTAGACAATATAAAGGAGTAGAGATAATACCATGCATACTATCTGATCATAATGGAATGGAACTGAAAATCAACGATAAAAGAAGGAAGAGAAAAGAATACATCACTTGGAGAATGAACAATAGGTTACTGAATGATCAATGGGTTATAGAAGACATCAAGGAAGAAATTAAAAAATTCTTAGAGATTAATGAAAACACAGACACAACATATCGGAATCTATGGGACACATTGAAAGCAGTTCTAAGAGGAAAATTCATTGCTTGGAGTTCATTCCTTAAAAAAAGAAAAAACCAACAAATAAATGATCTCATACTTCATCTCAAAATCCTAGAAAAAGAAGAGCAAAACAACAGCAAAAGAAGTAGAAGGCAAGAAATAATTAAAATCAGAGCTGAAATTAATGAAATCGAAACAAAAGAAACAATTGAAAAAATTGACAAAACTAAAAGTTGGTTCTTTGAAAAAATAAACAAAATCGACAGACCCTTAGCCATGCTAGCGAAGAGAAGAAGAGAGAGAACTCAAATTACTAACATACGGGATGAAAGAGGCAATATCACAACAGACACTTCAGAAATACAGAAGATAATCAAAAATTATTTTGAATCCTTATACTCCAATAAATTAGAAGATAGTGAAGGCATAGATAAATTTCTTAAGTCATATGATCTGCCCAGATTGAGTCAGGAGGATATAGACAACCTAAACAGACCAATATCAATTGAGGAAATAGAAGAAACCATCAAAAGACTACCAACTAAGAAAAGCCCAGGAACGGATGGGTATACAGCAGAGTTTTACAAAACCTTTAAAGAGGAACTAATACCAATACTTTTCAAGCTACTTCGGGAAATAGAAAAAGAGGGAGAACTTCCAAATTCATTCTACGAGGCCAACATCACCCTGATACCTAAACCAGACAAAGACACTTCAAAGAAAGAAAACTACAGACCAATATCTCTAATGAACCTAGATGCAAAAATCCTCAATAAAATTCTGGCCACTCGGATACAAAAAATTATCAAAAAAATTGTGCACCATGATCAAGTAGGATTCATCCCTGGGATGCAAGGCTGGTTCAATATACGGAAATCAATAAATGTTATTCACCACATCAATAGACTTAAAAATAAGAACCATATGATCATCTCGATAGATGCGGAAAAAGCATTCGACAAAGTACAGCATCCCTTTATGTTCAAAACTCTAGAAAAACTAGGGATAACAGGAACATACCTCAATATTGTAAAAGCAATCTATGCTAAGCCTCAGGCTAGCATCATTCTGAATGGAGAAAAATTGAAGGCATTCCCTCTAAAATCTGGAACAAGACAGGGATGCCCTCTCTCACCACTTCTGTTCAACATAGTTCTCGAAACACTGGCCAGAGCAATTAGACAGACGAAAGAAATTAAAGGCATCAAAATAGGAAAAGAAGAACTTAAATTATCACTATTTGCAGATGACATGATTCTATACCTAGCAGACCCAAAAGGCTCTACAAAGAAACTATTAGAGCTAATAAATGAATTCAGCAAAGTGGCAGGATATAAAATCAACACGCATAAATCAAAGGCATTCCTGTATATCAGCGACAAATCCTCTGAAATGGAAATGAGGACAACCACTCCATTCACAATATCTTCAAAAAAAAATAAAATACTTGGGAATCAACCTAACAAAAGAGGTGAAAGACTTATACAATGAAAACTACTGAACCCTAAAGAGAGAAATAGAAGAAGATCTTAGAAGATGGAAAAATATACCCTGTTCATGGATAGGCAGAACTAACATCATCAAAATGGCGATATTACCAAAAGTTCTCTATAGGTTTAATGCAATGCCAATCAAAATCCCAACGGCATTTCTTGTAGAAATAGAGAAAGCAATCATGAAATTCATATGGAAAAACAAAAGACCCAGAATAGCAAAAACAATGCTAAGCAGGAAGTGTGAATCAGGCGGTATAGCGATACCAGACTTCAAACTATACTACAGAGCAATAGTAACAAAAACAGCATGGTACTGGTACCAAAACAGGCGGGTGGACCAATGGTACAGAATAGAGGACACAGAAACCAATCCACAAAACTACAACTATCTTATATTTGATAAAGGGGCTAAAAGCATGCAATGGAGGAAGGATAGCATCTTCAACAAATGGTGCTGGGAAAACTGGAAATCCATATGCAACAAAATGAAACTGAATCCCTTTCTCTCGCCATGCACAAAAGTGAATTCAAAATGGATCAAGGAGCTTGATATCAAATCAGAGACACGCCGTCTGATAGAAGAAAAAGTTGGCTACGATCTACATACTGTGGGGTCGGGCTCCAAATTCCTCAATAGGACACCCATAGCACAAAAGTTAATAACTAGAATCAACAAATGGGACTTACTCAAACTAAAAAGTTTTTTCTCAGCAAAAGATACAATAAGAGAGGTAAATAGCGAGCCTACATCCTGGGAACAAATCTTAACTCCTCACACTTCAGCTAGAGCCCTAATATCCAGAGTATACAAAGAACTCAAAAAATTAGACAATAAGAGAACAAACAACCCTATCAACAAATGGGCCAAGGACCTGAACAGACACTTCTCAGAGGAGGACATACAATCAATCAACAAGTACATGAAAAAATGCTCACCATCTCTAGCAGTCAGAGAAATGCAAATCAAAACCACCCTAAGATACCATCTCACTCCAGTTAGATTGGCAGCCATTATGAAGTCAAACAACAACAAGTGCTGGCGAGGATGTGGGGAAAAGGGTACACTTGTACATTGCTGGTGGGACTGCAAATTGGTGCAGCCAATTTGGAAAGCAGTATGGAGATTTCTTGGAAAGCTGGGAATGGAACCACCATTTGACCCAGCTATTCCCCTTCTCGGTCTATTCCCTAAAGACCTAAAAAGAGCATGCTACAGGGACACTGCTACATCGATGTTCATAGCAGCACAATTCACAATAGCTAGATTGTGGAACCAACCTAGATGCCCTTCAATGGATGAATGGATAAAAAAAATGTGGCATTTATACACAATGGAGTATTACTCTGCATTAAAAAATGACAAAATCATAGAATTTACAGGGAAATGGATGGCATTAGAGCAGATTATGCTAAGTGAAGCTAGCCAATCCCTAAAAAACAAATGCCAAATGTCTTCTTTGATATAAGGAGAGTAACTAAGAACAGAGTAGGGTCGAAGAGCATGAGAAGAAGATTAACATTAAACAGGGATGAGAGGTGGGAGGGAAAGGGAGAGAGAAGGGAAAATGCATGGAAATGGAAGGAGACCCTCAGAGTTATACAAAAGTACATACAAGAGGAAGTGAGGGGAAGGGGAAAAATAATATAAGGGGGACAAACGAATGTCAGTAGAGGGAGCAGAGAGAGAAGAGGGGAGGGGAGGGGAGGGGAGGGGAGGGGGGATAGTAGAGGATAGGAAAGGCAGCAGAACACAACAGACACTAGTATGGCAATATGTAAATCAATGGATGTGTAACTGATGTGATTCTGCAATCTGTATATGGGGTAAAAATGGGAGCTCATAACCCACTTGAATCAAATTGTGAAATATGATATATCATGAACTATGTAATGTTTTGAACAGCCAACAATAAAAAATTAAAAAAAAAAAAATAAAATAAAATAAAATGACATTCTGGTTGATTTTCTTGTTCCCTCTTTGTCACTTTCTCTCCTAACTTTCACGCATTTTTTTTTTCATTTACTGTAGGCAATTCTTATGCAAGAAGCTAAACGTAATTAAATGTGCAGGATGAAAAGATGGCACAGGCACTGCTGGTACCCCCGGGACCTGAAAGCTTCCGCCTTTTCACTAGAGAATCTCTTGCTGCTATCGAAAAACGTGCCGCAGAAGAGAAAGCCAAGAAGCCCAAGAAAGAACAAGACAATGATGATGAGAACAAACCAAAGCCAAACAGTGACTTGGAAGCTGGAAAGAACCTTCCATTTATTTACGGAGACATTCCTCCAGAGATGGTGTCAGAGCCCCTGGAGGACCTGGACCCCTACTATATCAACAAGAAAGTGAGTGTTGATTTTGTAACGTGTCTTTAAGCATTTAGCATTGATATCCTTTTCTGGGACTTATATACATATGACACCCATGATTTTTCTCCTTTAAAATTTTTCTCCTTTAAAACTCTTTACTGCCACTTACATCTATACACAGTAATATAAACAGAAACATTTATAAGAAATAAGGAATTGATTACACACTGAGGAAATAGGAATAGATAACAATTTCTACAATTCTCAATAATTGAAATAAATAATAAAACTTAAAATCGACACCAACAAAGCTAAATATCTGCTATTGCTAACATAATTAAGCACACAATAGACAACCAAACAGCTGTGCAAAAGAAAAGAAAACTAACTATGGGTCTATGTTGTGCTTTTTAGTTCTTATTTGGCTTGAAGTTTCTAGTGGACAGTAAATAATCATCTACTTAACACTCTTCTATAGGCAGATAACATATGGAGATGCAGATTCACCAGGACATATATTTTTGTTTTCCGTCCACTAACCTGGAATAGGATTAAGAGCTAATCTTAACCATACCAAGATTCTTATGCTGTATTTGGAATATCTAAATATGCTTAAAACATTATTGGGGGGGAGGTGTCAAGATTAAAAGTAAAATAAAATCCCCAAACTCAAACAAATAAAACGTTCAAGTTTTCTTCATATATGCATGACTTAGAACAACAATTATGCCGGGTGTGGTGGCACATTCTGTAATCTCAGCAGCTCAGGAGGCTGAGGCAGGAGGATCTTGAGTTCAAAGCCAGCCTCAGCAACAGGGAGGCGCTAAGCAACTCAGTGTGATCCTGTCTCTAAATAAAATACAAAATAGGGCTGGGAATGTGGTTCAGTGATTGAATGCCCTGAGTTCAACCCCTGATACCAAAAAAAAAAAAAAAAAGTAACCATTATGACTGTGACCTCTGAATGTTAAATGTTCTGTAAGAATTAGTTTCTGTAGTTAAACAAGCTTGGTGATATTTTATAGGAAATATTAAAAGAACAAATGGAGATGCTATGATTTCTAACTGGGTATTTTGCATTTTATAACCACAATTTATATGTTATCTTCACATGCATAAAAATATTTCAATATAGAAACTCAGGGTAAATTAATATCACTATGAGCTGGTGACTTATGGGTTAAGGAAGATGTTGAATACCTATTTTAGTCAAAGCAGACCCTTTAAAAAGCAGTGGTTGAGAAATTGTATTCTTTAAACAATATTCAATTTATAGTTACAAAATAAATGCTGGCTAAAGGAAGTGACAGTTAATCATTCAGATGCAGACTAGCCTCTTGCTTTAAAAGAGTACTTCTCAAACTTGCCTGAACACATAGGTCACCACTAAATCTTATTAATATGCAGATTCTGATGCCACAAGCTGGGGTGGAGCCAGAGATTCTCCCTTTCTTTATAAACCATCAGGTGATATGATACCTATCCTGCCAGGACTTGAATCACACTTTGAATAGCAAGCCTTCAAATGTTTTATTTAAGATCATAAAAACAAGTGAAAAGAATTAAGCAGGTTCTTTTTTTCCCCCTTTTTAAACTAGTTTCACAAAAGGTGGCATTAATTACATAATCATACACACCTAAAATATTTTTTCAGTACTGTACTGCAGAGTTGATAAACAAAGTTCTGAAATTATGTTACTGTATTATTACAAATGGTGATGACAATGAGACACCTCCCAAGAAACTGAAAAAAAAAATTTCTCCTCTGAGAACTATTGATCTAAAGTATTTGAAAAGATATCCTCAAGAGACAGGGACATTTTTCACTCTGACATAGTTAAAAATATTTTCTACTTAAGAAGAGGAAAATGCTCAGCTTGGTGGGATCATGGGGAGCGGCGGGTAGGGGAAAGGAGAATAATAGGGTAACCATCATCCAAGGGAGACAGGCCTTCTCAGTAGCACCGAAGGGCAGGGCCAGCTCATTGTGCAGGGGCTACCCTGGGCTAGCCTAATAGATGACATAAAACATTCTGCATCATTTGATTAAATAAGCTGGTTTTAACTCAAAACTCAGCAAGAAACTTCTGTTTATAATTGGTTTTCCCATACATCTGCTGAAAGGAAAGAATGTTCTGGTTATGCCATTGTAATTATTTTAGTCCATGTGAAAGTAATATATCTCACTGTAAATAGATTGGCATCTGATTTTATGTGTCAGGCTTTCAAGTTTGGTTAATATGAGTCTGCCACTAGAAAACAGAATTGCTCTCTTTATGCTGACAAAACCAGTTATTATTACCTCCAGAGCTGAGAACTAGACTTGGGTCATGATTTATTCCTAGTTTTGCTGTGACCCTTCCTAGGAGATCTCTAGTCAGGCTCTTTACTGTTGGCATCACTCCTGTTATACATGAAGTACTGGTAAAGGTGGAGATTGAGGTGATACTACAGAAAGAGACAATGATGCATAGAAGGAGATAATGGAAAGAAACTAACAGAAGAAAGTCTAGAATTTATGATCATGGCGTGGAGCTATTTTAATTGTATGGAATAATTCAAGCAAAGAGCATTTTAATAGCATAAAGCATAATGCGACTGTTTGCTGCCATTAATAAGTGATATAGTTTGGTACCACATATGGATGGATGGCGTCACAGTACATTTTCATGGTATGTAACTTGACCATGGTGATAGTGTGGAGATAGTGACAACGATAATAATAGCTAATATTTGCTGTGCTTATACTGTGTTGAATATTACTTGAGTGCTTTAGCTCATTTAATATTCTGTGCACCATTGAAGTGGTTACTGTTGTTAGCCTTAGTTTACAGACAGGGAAGTAAAGCCCAAAAAAGGTAAATTAGCTTACCAGGGTCATAGTCCATAAGTGTTGGATACAGGATTCAAATTTAGACAGTCGAGCTCTAGAGTCAGAGCTCTAAACCACTAACTATATAGAGTATTTATTAATATAGTAAAAGGTTTGTGGAAAAAATTGGTTGTATTATGTTTTTAAAACTCTATGATTGATGTGGTCCTACTGATTGAGATGTAAAGCTTACTTTTGCTTCAAAGTAGCAAAAATTTTAGTGAATTTACAAGCTGTACATTTGCCTAAGAAGCAAATAGTACTCCAGAGTAGAAAACAACAACTGTAATATAGTTCCAAATATGGTACTTACAATGTAGTAGCAACGGGAACTATTTTTTTCTATAGGCACACCATTATTTATCACTATTTGAAAACCTGACTCTAAAGTTGGCACTAATCCACCCTATCATCTGTTATTGCCTCAGGTAATTTCCAGTTTGTGTACATAGTTTAATAATATCAGAGCGCTAATTTTCAAATGTTTTTCTTGTAATTCCTACATTATCTAGGACATTGATATTTTATTTCTAATTTTTCATAACTGAAGGTTTTATGTTGGGTTTTGTTCTCCAGAAATGAACTGGGATTATGTTCTTAAGGTCTGCCCTGTTCCAGAACATAAATTTAATAAAGATGCTCTTGGCATGTTAGCCTAATTCCACTAGTACTACACAGGCTAATCCTGCAGGAGTAGCAGAGGGTTCCATTTTTTAAAGGACATTTAATTCCTGCTCACTCTGTTTTTGGCAATATTTCAAAACAAAGTCCTTCTCTAATGTTGCAAGTAAAAATTTCCTTTTCATGGAAATTGTTTGAAAAGCATGAATTAATGCACCTTAAAGTATAGTGAACTTTTACATGTTATTGCTGTCATTGAATGCCTAAATTGATCTTGATTGTTTAACTGCAAGATTTAATGATCTAATCCTGTGAAATCAAGACAATCCTTCTGCACTTCAAGGGAAGTCTTCCCAAAGTCCACTGACCCTGCAGATAATCCTAGTTGTAATCTTGCTAGTAAAGGTTAGTTTACTAGCCATCTTCATAGAATTTATGGAAGTTTATTAAAATTGGTTAGTTAAGTAATGGTTGGCTCCAAGGTATTTAACAGAAAAGGGCGAAGAACAGAGAACATGTTTTCCCTGCTCCTTATGCCCACAATATAAATATTTCTGCCTACCTATTCAAACAGAGCTTGTCGTCAGTGAACATGAATATATGGGATATAGCTCATAGTTAAAGGGTAAAAACATATTATCAAGTAAATCAATACAGAGAACAGATGTCATAAAGGTGAATAGCATCTTAAAGTAAACCCATATTCAATTAAAACAAGTGTTTAGTTTAAAACTATGCTATTAAATACTGCAGGGAGAAATGGAAAAGTCGATTACAGACTCTTTGTGCTCAGTGGTATACAACTACATCTAACCTAGTCCTCCCTAGAATGAAGGCTACAGGGAAATTGCTGCTTGAATTCTGGTTACTTGCAACATGCAAAAGAATGCAAATTTATATACTAAGACTTAGTGGTAAAGGAAGCAATTAAGGAGTGGTCAGAAACAGTGTGATTTGTTGGGAAAGATATGAGGAAGGAGGTAATTTGACAGCTGAGGACATGCCCAGAGAGCAGGATTTATCAACCCCATGTGCACGTTAGAATCACAGAATCACTCAAGGAAAGCATCCAAAATACCCACATCTGTGCCCATTCTCCAAAATTTTTGATTCAATTGATCTGAGGTGAGACTTAAATTTCAGCAATTTAAAATTCTCTCCAGCACATTTTGGCATGCAAGATTTTTAAAGAGCCACTGATATAATAGTGGGTCAATTTAAGTGGGACATTACTGTCAAATCTGTCCTGGAGATGTCTTCCTGAAATGGCAGGGAGTTTTCATTAAATGACCTCTAGGGTTCCACCTTTCTCTAAGATTCTGTGACACTCATTTTCAGAGTCAGAGGGAGAGTTTGACAGGTTGTGAGTAGGACTGAAGAGTGGATTGAATTGGCTGAAGCTGAGATGACTCTTAAAGGAGAAAAGAAAAGATGATCCAAGACTGACTTATTTGGCAATCACCGGGCAGTATAGTTTAGATGCTAGGTTGATGATTATAGCTTTCAGATCATAGAACCTTAGCTGTGGAATGCCCTTCAAAGTGATGTTTTCAGGCTAATTTTCAATGCAGCTGTCCCTTCTCAGTATTAGCTGGGAAGCTGATCCCTTCCCAGCTGATGTGCAGAATCAGCAAAGCCAGGTAATTCAACCCACTTGAACAATTTTTAAAAGAAGAGAACAACTGAAGGGACAATAGGAAGAAGCCATTACACATTTTGGAGTTAAAAGATTTGATTTAATTAAAATATCTAGAAAAACACTATTTTAATAGCATTGTGTACAGAATAATCTGAAAAGTTACCAAAAACTGGAGACAGATGGCAAGCTTTAAATAGAATTGAAATCTGTAAAGCTACATTATAATTTGCTAAAAAATTTTGTGTAGGATTATCAGTTTGTATCAGCAAGTTGGAACCTTAGAGACAGAATAGATAATAGTAAAGTGTATTTTATATATAATTTTATGTTAAATTATGGGAGAAACACCTAACATGTATACTTTACCTGTTTATAATGGTTTAAACAAATAAGTTTGAACAAACACATCAGAAAAAAAGTTTTTGATGTATATCAACTCTTCAAATAAGCCACATGTCTAATTTAACAATTTCTTTCTCATGTTTTCTTTTTCAGACTTTTATAGTATTGAATAAAGGGAAGGCAATTTTCCGATTCAGTGCCACCTCTGCCTTGTATATTTTAACTCCATTAAACCCTGTAAGGAAAATCGCTATTAAGATTTTAGTACACTCATATCCTTTTAATGTGAATTGTCCAAGTGCTATTTCTAAAAAGAAGATTTTAAAGAAAATGTCACCCTTATTGCAAAATCCTCATAAAATTTCTTTGAGATTAATGGTAGGATTGTTAGTTTAATTGATTTATTGCCTTTGACTTTAGCATGAAACTTTATGTAATTAAGATTATTATAGAATCATTATTATAATTCTTGAAGTAAATTTGAAAACAGTGTAGTGAATTCATGTGGAATGAATTCATGTGTAAATGAACTATATTTGTATAGTAGGTAAAAGACCTGATCCCCTTCAGACTTTTATTAATTTTAATTAAATAATTAATCTTAATTAAATAATATATAACCTTTGCTAAAAAAAACATAATTTATTGTGGTTAATATTATTATCTGTTTTACTAAATCTCAAACTCTTTTGGGGGCATGAGCATTGAACCCAGGGCACTTTACCAATGAGCTGCATCCCCAGCCCCTTTTTAATTTTTCATTTTGAGACAGGGTCTTGCCAAATTGCTGAGGGTTTCACTACGTTTCTTAGGCTGGCCTTGATCCTCCTACCTCAAGCTCCCAAATTGCTGGGATTACAAGACTTTTCCATTTCACCCTGATAAATGTTTAAACTTTTGTACCTTAATTGGCTATTTATCTTGGCACCTGAGTCTATTCTCCTCTTTTCCTTCTTTCATTCCTCCTTTAGTAAATATTTATTAAACTTTCATTGTGCTTCTGTATCTGGTTGATAATATATGAAAAAACTATTTTTTCATATTTGTTAAAACTATTCAAAGTCTGAGACTGTAGCTCATTAGTAGAGTGCTTACTATCATGCACATATACACATGGCCCTTGATTTGATCCTCAGCACTATTAAAAAAAAAAAAAAAACTATTTACATTTTCAGTCAAAAGAATTTTGTGAAGGGGAAGAATATAAAACTAGGTGTAGATTCTAATAGATACTTAAGAAAAGATAAAATAGAAAGGTGATTTAATTCAGGCATTGTTTAAGAATGGGCTTTTATATAGGAAAATTCAAAACAGGCTTATATATAAACTAAAAGACCGGTTCACCTGGAGACAGAGCAAATGAGACTGACAACCTTTTGAAGGGTATTTGAATTCTCTCATTCTGGGTTTATATTGGAAAGTAAAGTATATTTTTTAAATACGATATTTATCTCAATATAATCATAAACTTCTTGCAGTGAGGTCTGTATTGAAATACCAAAAGAAATGATTACAGTTGATTCTTCACAACACTTCTTTACTGGTTTGGAATGATGTGGACCAGATGCAGGAGGATAGCTAGATGGCCTCTTGGGTTCCCCTAGAATTTAAAGTGAAAACAAAAACATTAGCAAATAATGTTACCTTATTGACACAAAATTTTATTATGTTGTAAATTATAAAGGAATGAGTTACATCACTACAAGGAGAATCTCCCTACAGTAGAGATCTCAAGGTGATCTTTGAAAATATTGTGCTTATATTTCTCAGGTTTGCATATTGCATTCGTTAACCTATTTTCCCCATGGAGTTTTTTAGTTAGATCAGAAGTGCAATGATTCCACTTATATCATACTATAAACCTAAAAAATGGTGAGTTGCCCTTCTAGTACAACTTCACAGAACTGACTTGAATGAAAAAATATTTCTCATTTGCTTCAAATACTTAATTCAGTTTTGTGAGCATATGATGTAAAAGTTCAAAAAGAATAGACCAAGACCATGTGACAGGCTTTAGAGTTTATTATTATTTTTTACCATTGTCTTAATACTAATAAATAAGATTGATTTTCGAGTTACATTGTGTTGATAAATTTTGGTGTGGTGTGTGTGTGTGTGTGTGTGTGTGTGTGTGTGTGTTTTGGATCATTTTTAAATATCCATGAAAACAAACTAACAGTTATTCCTTAACTATAATCTACCTTATTCAGCATGCTTATCATGTGCACTATTTTGACCAACTGTGTATTCATGACTTTGAGTAACCCTCCTGATTGGACAAAGAATGTAGAGTAAGTAGGAAAAACTTACTGGAATGAGAAATGCACACATGTATTCTCTAGCTCTGTCCTTGTGGTTATGGTCTGACTTACCATTTCCACTTTTTGAAGTCAGGCTAAATACTTCTAAGAAAAGTTATATTTCCATAATATGAAAGAAGATAAGGAATGTTCTTTGGGGGAGTTATTCTTCTTTGAGGTAAGTTTTTTTTTTTTTTCCAACAAATTCATGATAGTACCCATTTAAAAGAGGCTATCAATTAGCATCCACTAAAACAATCATTTACATCTTAAAGTTAAGACTCAATCATTGTTACACATTATAGATATAGTCCTGAGCAGCCTCAGATCCTGGCTGTCTCATTCTTTCTCCCTTTGAGACAAACACCAGGGGCATCTGTTTAAACATTTGTTAAAACAGTTGATTCAGTATTTTAACAGAATCAATAGGAAAAGCCAGGAAAAGCCAATAAAAGCATGTTATTTCTTGAGGTCCCTAACCTAGCCCTTTATATGCACTAAAAGAAATGCTTCCATTGATCTTTCACTTTAAAGTCCTTTTAATTTCTAGAGATTTTCTATTTAACTTTTAGAAAATAAAATGTTCCTCATTGTTTCAAAACATCAATATGAAGTAGCACAATTTCTATATTATCACATTATTCTCTTGTCAGTCATATATGAGATTGTTTGTATCAAAGAAATATGCTTTTTAGTGAAATGGAAGGTATTTAGGTCATATAGACTATTTATGTATAGTATAATACAATGGCCAGATATTTGATCTATTCAGTGAAAATTTGGATACACTTTTTTATTTTTATAAAGTAATGTCCAATGGAAATAAAATATTAAAGCAAACACCGTCATTTTTTATTTCTAACCATTTTTGAAGATTTCTATTAGAATTTAATATTCTATTCTAAGCCACTGTTTGTCAGTGATTTAACATGTTGAAAAATTTTTAAAAAATAGTAGTTTGAAAATGCTTTCTAGAAGGTCTTGTCATAAAGAATCCAGTTCTTTTGTTGAGGCAGGCAATTTAACAGAGCTATTAGTTACCATTTGTGATTCTGGAGTTAACAAAATAGACATAGCTATATAAAACTTCTGTATGTTCTTTCCCAGCAGGAATTATTGAAGCATTTAAACCTGTATAAATTTCATTTATTTGTATTAAATTAATGAAAAATAGGTAAGGGTGGTATTTGATATATACATATATATCTTTTTTTAACAGAATAGTATTAACTTACAGACATTTTAATCCATTATGAAATAGTCAGCATTACAGAAATTTTGAACTGCATTTTTCAGTTAGAAAACTTTGTGCACGTTTTCTGATCAATTATCTCAAGTAGCTTGACAGCAAGGTATCAGGAAAACAAGCAAAACAGTAGTGGTTACTGCATAAACAAACAAAAACAAAAACCTAGAGTCAAATGAGAAGAGAAAACAATTCAGTTCTGAGATGAAAACAGAAGCCATTGAAATTAGAAATGGTTCCTGTACAAAGATGTGACATACCCAAAATAGCCTCAGGATGATATAGTATAGTGAGGAGAGTATTATGTAAGGTAGGGCCCTGCTATAGATTCCATAATCACAGAAGAAAAGAATAATAAAAAAAAAACAATCCTGTCACATGGATGGAAGAGACAGCAAGATTAGGAGTCTAGTAAGGGCTGAGCCAAGAAAGATCCAGGTCACCTAATTCCTACATGCCTGTCCAATCTAGTTTGTTAATAAGCACTTTGAATACCTGTTCTATGTAAAGCTCTTTCTCATAGTTCCATTCTAAATCTCTTTCGTGCACTACCTACTCTATATGTCCCCATATAGATTACATTTCCTAAAACAAGATCAGAAGACTTTAATCTCTCTCAGAGTAATTTCACAAACTGCCCAATAGATAAGAGCATTAACCCCTAACATGACAAATAGGACATATATGTAATGTGTCTCTAAGTCCTTTTAAAAGAACACATATCTCTCCAAATGGAAATGTCATAGTGATTATATTTAGTACACAATGATCCAAACAAAAGTGCAAGTACACGTAAGTTTGGGATTGTCAAATACATATTCTCCTAGTAGTCAGCTACTTCATAATTATGCAAAGATAGGAATTATACTTATTGCTCCTGAAACAATTGAGTTGTCAAGAAAAATGGAAGAGAATATACTTAGGAAAACAAGATGTGAATCTTTCTGCATATATTTTTCTACGATTTCTTTGTTCCGTCATATGAGAAAACTTTCTGCAGAAGAAAGTTACAAATACCTATCCCAACATTATGCACATATGACACACTGGTAGACTGGAGGTACAATGGATTTTAATAAGAGCAAATGAAATCTTTGTGACTTGAGTGAAGTATTATTCTTAAAAATAGACTGAGATTGGACTTTTAAAGAACACAATATTTAAAAATGAGTACCCTCAGCTATTTCTGGAAGAAACAGAAACAAAAATAACTTTATTGTCAATGCTCAAAGGAAAAATGAACTATATTGGATAGCAAACAAAAGTCTTCCATCATTTTGGAGGCTGAAATTGGAATTTAAGCAAGAGTTAAATGATTTGACCCAGTGAGTTGAAAAGAGATAGTAGCTGATGAAAAGTTAAAGAATTTTTTTTAACTGTGAATTTTGGTAACTATATAAATATAGACACATACAACATACCAGAGAACTGAATCATTTCTTGTGACTATAAATATATATATATATATATATATACAATTATATATGGTGAGATAAAAAGAGACAGGAGAGGTGGGTAGTTTTATAATTATGCCTGACCCTTAATGACAAAAAAAGAAGTATATTTTCCATATAAAGACACATAAAATAAACCTAAATGAATCTAATCATCATGAAATTTGAATAGAAACATTTTCATACAAGTGAATCCAAGCTATGTTGCCTATAGAGTTCTGTCCAATGAAGGAGTCATCAGCCTCATGTTGCTATTGAATTTGGCTAGCTTTACCTTTGAAATGATGATATTTCGGATATATTGATTTCATCAAAATATAACATGGAAATTAAGTTCACTTGCTCCTTCTGACTTTGTAATTTGGCCACTGGGAAATAGCACATCACCTTTGTGGCTTATATTATATTTCTGTTAGACATTTCTGTTCTAGAGAATCAAGCCTATTGATTATCCACAAAATACATGAAACTGTTTTTCTAAAATCCAAAAAGTATAACAAGAACAGATGCCTGAAGAATATGTTTTCTCTTCACTTTAACCTTTTACTTAGTCCAATAAGATTAATTATACTAGAAGATTCTTTGACATAGAAATCCAGAATAAAAGTTTAGTGAATTGAAAAAAAACCACACACATACAAGAAGGATTTCATATACTTGAAAACATGTGTTTTAGCAGTTCAAATTAAATTATTAATTTTGGTTTGGATGCTTTTCCTAGGTACACATTCACTGGGATCTATACCTTTGAGTCATTTATAAAAATCTTGGCAAGAGGGTTTTGTTTAGAAGATTTTACATTCCTTCGTGATCCATGGAACTGGCTGGATTTCAGTGTCATTGTGATGGCGTGAGTAATTTTCAAAATTATAATTTCAAAGGAATGGCAATAGTTACAGCATAAACCAGGATATTGAGACATATCATGAATGTAGAGCTTTCACGTTAGTCAAGTTAGCTATATGCCTCATGTATTTTGAGAATACATATTGCAAGGTAAATAGATTTACTAAATGAGCAATAAATGGAATTACTCTGATGTCACAGTATTTATCTTCATCAAAATGAAGTTATCCATTGACTAAAATTTAATAGCTACAACTGTACTTTGATTGGTTTTGCAAACAGAAGTATCCATATTAGTGAAACCTACACAGAAATAAAACAACAATTTTTTTTCCTTAAAGGCACCCTTCAGCAGATGCCACCCTGAGGTCTATGGCAATTCTGTTTATTTAACTCAAGGGGCTATATATGCCAAATCCAGCATTAGTTATTTCTTTAGTATGAAATTTTCCAAAACTATCAGTAACTCTGATTTAATTCTACAGGTATGTAACAGAATTTGTAAGCCTAGGCAATGTTTCAGCTCTTCGAACTTTCAGAGTCTTGCGAGCTCTGAAAACTATTTCTGTAATTCCAGGTAAGAAGAAACTGGTGTAAGGTGATAGGCCCCTTATATCTCCAACTTTTCTTGTGTGTTATTGTGTTTGTGTGTGAACTCCCCTATTACAGATATGTGACAGAGTTTGTGGACCTGGGCAATGTCTCAGCATTGAGAACATTCAGAGTTCTCCGAGCATTGAAAACTATTTCAGTGATTCCAGGTGAGAGCTAGGTTAAACACCGAGGCTGACTTTATATACACTACAATAATATTCAGGTTGATATCAAATGTATGCAATTAACCTTGTTGTTTATTGCTCATTGGTTACATTAAGGAATGCCAAATAATGTTTCAATGTCAGTTTATTTCCTAACATTTTAGTAATTTCTGCTTCTTTGTAAAGTCAGCCTTTGAGTTTAACAAAAATTTGCATGAGACATCTACTAAAAAAAAAAAAAAAGATATTACTGGTTTTGTGCTCTCTCTGTCCCCCCCCCCCCACTTCTCTCTCTTGCATATGATGCAAAGTTTTGTCTCTTGCATTCTGATGAAGCTTTGCTACCATGGCTTACTGATTTGTATTTTACCATTCACTGCAGATCTATTTCAAAAATAGATCTTCTTTGATAAAGGAGAAAAGATTATATGGAAAAGCATCCACATTGCATGGGATTTCTGTATCTTAAAATTCTTTTCTCCTCTAAATCACTGCTACTTGGAGGCTAGTGTAAACAATGGGTTGGAGGGAAATAGCCTCATTAAACACAGAATCTGAAAGGAAAAACAAAACTGCAACTTTGTCTTTTATATGGCAGCACATAAAACCGCACAAGCAAAACTTCCTGCCTATATACTTTAACTTTAATTTTGAACCTCCAGAAAGCACACTGTTCATATTGAAAGTCTGCGCTACATCTACTTTCCAGATCATAAGGCTGTCCATAAAGCTTTGGTGTGTACATGGCCAAGCAATATTTTGTGGGGAAATAGGAATGTGTGCAGCTTGTGAGAAAAAAAAATCATGGTTTATGACACTCTTCCTCAATTGAGTTATTTCTTCTCAGGTCTGAAGACCATCGTGGGGGCCCTGATCCAGTCAGTAAAGAAGCTCTCAGATGTCATGATTCTGACTGTGTTCTGTCTGAGTGTGTTTGCTCTAATTGGACTGCAGCTGTTCATGGGCAACCTGAGGAATAAATGTTTGCAATGGCCCCCAAATGATTCTGCCTTTGAAACCAACACCACTTCCTACTTCAATGGCACAATGGATTCAAATGGGACATTTGTTAATGTCACAATGAGCACATTTAATTGGAAAGATTACATTGGAGATGACAGTAAGAAGTATTACCACATATGTTAACCTTAGTGTTGCTCAATGAGTTTGCAACTATAGATAGTTGAGATTTTGTGAAGGTACTTTCTTAAAAACCTTATTCTAATACATGACAGTAGAATGCATTTTGACACATTGTACACAAATGGAGCACAACTTTTCATTCCTCTGGCTGAATATAGTGTAGAGTCACACCAGAAGTGTAATCATACATGTATATAGGATAATAGTGTCCATCTCATTCCACTGTCCTTCCCATCTCCACAACCCATCCCTTCCCCTCACACCTTTCTGCACAATCCAAAGTTTTTTTCATTCTTCCCCACCACCCTCCATTATGAATTAGCATCCACTTATCAGAGAAAACATTTGGCCTTTGGTTTGGGGGGTTTGGCTTTATCCATTCATCTGTTTAAGGGCATCAGAGTTTAGCTATTGTGAATTGAGCTGCTATAAACATTGATGCACCTGTATCACTTGGTATGCTGAGTTTAAGTCCTTTGGGTATAAACTGAGGAGCAGGATAAATGGGTCAAACAGTGGTTCCATTCCAAGGTTTCTGAGGAATCTCCATACTGCTTTCCATAGTGGCCACACCAATTTGCAGTCCCACCAGCAATGTATGAGTGTACACTTTTCCCCAAATCCCCGCCAACACTTATTGTTACTTGTATTCTTGAGAACTGCCATTCTGACTGGAATGAGATAGAATCTCTGTGTATTTTAAATTGTATTTCTTTAATCGATAGAAATTTTAAACATTTTTTTTCATATATTTGTTGACCATTGTATTTCTTCTTCTGTGAAGTGTCTATTCAGTTCCTTTGCCCATTTATTGATTGGGTTATTTGGAGTTTTTTGGTGTTTTTTTTTTTTAAGTTCTTCATATATCCTGAAGATTAGTGCTCTATCTGATGTGTGTGTGGTAAAGAGTTTCTCCAATTCTGTAGGCTCTCTCTTCATGTTCTTGATTGTTTCCTTTGATGAGAAAAAACTTTTTAATTTGGATTCATCCCATTTATTGATTTCTTGATTTTACTGCTTGTGCTTTAGGAGTCTGGTTAAGTACATTAATGAGCATGTAGAAAATAACTGAAACAAATTTGGGGATTTTATTTAGTGTGAGTATGACTGATGAAATGAAAAGAGTTTATTTTTTATATTAACAGGTCACTTTTATGTTTTGGATGGACAAAAAGATCCTTTACTCTGTGGAAATGGCTCAGATGCAGGGTAAGGAGTACAATTCTTTAAAAAAAAAAAGATGTCGAATCTTATGAAAATAAAGAAAGAAAACAAAACAAAAAGAAAATGAAAGTCAGGAAAAAATACAAAAGGATATTTACATATAAATAATGAGAGCATGTCTACCTAGCAAGGGCCTTGTGTGACTTTCTGAATTACCATTGACCCTAAACTCACAGCCTTTGAAAAATCATTCCTTTGGATAAAGATGTTTTCTCCAGAATGTACACTCAGGATGTACCTAATGTATTTCTCCAATGAGTGAAAGGCCCAGAGTCAGCTTTGTCTGTAAACCCATCAGGATTATTTAGGAAGCAGAGGAAAAGAACACAAGGTGGGCACATTTTTGTTAATGTGCGTTTGTACTGATGAAGTAAGTTTTGTTGTGGCAAAAAAAAAAAAAAAAAATCCAGAAAAGAGTATGTCTTTAGGATGCCATATGTTTCAAGAAAATGCCTTGAAAATTCAGGTATTCTTAAAATCGCATGAATCTTTGAGCAAAGAGCCAAAGGTATGTCCAAGTCTGAGCCAGAAAACTACTTCTATTTGGTTACATTCTGCAATGAGAGATCCTTTGATATCTTAGTCATCCTTCTAATCTCTCACATTTAACATATTTTCCCAAAAGTATGAAAAATTAATTTTAAATCAAGACAGATAATGTTTTAAAAGAAAGAAAAACAAATAGTAGGTGACTCAGAGGCCATAAAACTTGAACATATTTTAGGGCATCTTAGAACAGAAAATTGGTGTGGTCATGAAATCTAAGAGCATCAATGGAAGTACATATTAGTCCTATAGATAGAGCTTTGGGGAATTTTTTTTCCTGACAGTTTTGGTACATGAATGTAATAGATAAGAGCATGGATTCTAGGTTCAAATTCTAACTCCACAGTCTGCAAGTTCTTTGAACTTGCAAGTGTACTAAACTCTTGGTTACTTCAATTTATATATCTCTAAACTTGGAAGAGTAATATAGTCCACTCTTAAAGTTGTTGTGATGAATATTTATTTAACATAATAAAGCATTTGTACTAGAACAGGCTCTATCATAAGCATTACAATTTATAATATCATAAGCTTATAATAGGATTGTAACTAATGCTATTATTTATTATTATGGTTAACTCAAGAGACTAGATAAATGTTTGGATAAGGCTAGTTAATGCATATTTTATTCCTATGAAAACATAATAATCACTTCTCTTTAATAAATACCTACTATGGGTTAAGAAATTTGCATGGTAAAATTGATAGTCACTCTATTGTTAAATGTCAAAATTCTAAAAATATCTACCCAGTTTCAAGACTTCATATAAGGTCACAGTAATAAAAGTAACATACTGATTTTGTCATTTTTTAATGCAGAGTAATACTCCATTGTGTATAAATGCCACATTTTTTTTATCCATTCATCCATTGAAGGGCATCTAGGTTGGTTCCACAGTCTAGCTATTGTGAATTGTGCTGCTATGAACATAGATGTAGCAGTGTCCCTGTAGCATGCTCTTTTTAGGTCTTTAGGGAATAGACCGAGAAGGGGAATAGCTGGGTCAAAAGGTGGTTCCATTCCCAGCTTTCCAAGAAATCTCCATACTGCTTTCCAAATTGGCTGCACCAATTTGCAGTCCCACCAGCAATGTACAAGTGTACCCTTTTCCCCACATCCTCGCCAGCACTTGTTGTTGTTTGACTTCATAATGGCTGCCAATCTAACTGGAGTGAGATGGTATCTTAGGGTGGTTTTGATTTGCATTTCTCTGACAGCTAGAGATGGTGAGCATTTTTTCATGTACTTGTTGATTGATTGTATGTCCTCCTCTGAGAAGTGTCTGTTCAGGTCCTTGGCCCATTTGTTGATTGGGTTGTTTGTTCTCTTATTGTCTAATTTTTTGAGTTCTTTGTATACTCTGGATATTAGGGCTCTATCTGAAGTGTGAGGAGTAAAGATTTGTTCCCAGGATGTAGGCTCTCTATTTACCTCTCTTATTGTTTCTTTTGCTGAGAAAAAACTTTTTAGTTTGAGTAAGTCCCATTTGTTGATTCTAGTTATTAACTTTTGTGCTATGGGTGTCCTATTGAGGAATTTGGAGCCCGACCCCACAGTATGTAGATCGTAGCCAACTTTTTCTTCTATCAGACGGCGTGTCTCTGATTTGATATCAAGCTCCTTGATCCATTTTGAATTTACTTTTGTGCATGGCGAGAGAAAGGGATTCAGTTTCATTTTGTTGCATATGGATTTCCAGTTTTCCCAGCACCATTTGTTGAAGATGCTATCCTTCCTCCATTGCATGCTTTTAGCCCCTACATAGAATTTACAGGGAAATGGATGGCATTAGAGCAGATTATGCTAAGTGAAGCTAGCCAATCCCTAAAAAACAAATGCCAAATGTCTTCTTTGATATAAGGAGAGTAACTAAGAACAGAGTAGGGTCGAAGAGCAGGAGAAGAAGATTAACATTAAACAGGGATGAGAGGTGGGAGGGAAAGGGAGAGAGAAGGGAAAATGCATGGAAATGGAAGGAGACCCTCAGAGTTATACAAAAGTACATACAAGAGGAAGTGAGGGGAAGGGGAAAAATAATATAAGGGGGACAAATGAATGTCAGTAGAGGGAGCAGAGAGAGAAGAGGGGAGGGGAGGGGAGGGGAGGGGAGGGGAGGGGAGATAGTAGAGGATAGGAAAGGCAGCAGAATACAACAGACACTAGTATGGCAATATGTAAATCAATGGATGTGTAACTGATGTGATTCTGCAATCTGTATATGGGGTAAAAATGGGAGCTCATAACCCACTTGAATCAAATTGTGAAATATGATATATCAAGAACTATGTAATGTTTTGAACAGCCAACAATAAAAAATTAAAAAAAAAAAAAAAAAAAAAAAAAAAAATAAAAGTAACATACTATTGGTTAAAAAAAATAACTGGTATATAGATCAATGAAACAGAACCCAAAACCCAAAAATAGTCATGTAAAAATATAGTCAACCAATTTTTTGACAAAGAAGCAAGCAAATGTAATTCAATAGAGTAAACAAAATCTTTTCAACCAATGATGCTAGAACAAATTAAAGAAACAAAACTAAAACAGAACATATATCTGCAACAAAACTTACTCAAAATAGATTATGCATTTAAGTGTAAGATATAAAACTTTTTAAAGAAAATATAGGAGAATCTACATAAATTTGAGATTGGTTATTAAATATATAACCAATTAGCACAGTCCATGAAATAAAAAAGGTGATAAATTGACTTTATTAAAGTTAGAATCTTCTGTTCTGCAAACACATTCTTAAGAAAATGAAGAGACAAAGCACATGATAGAAGAAAATATTTACAAAACCCAAATCTGATAAAGGACCTACACTCAAAATATACAAAGAAACTCTTAAACTCAATAACGAGGAAATAAATAACCCAATTCAAAAATGACAAAAACATCCTGAACATACAACTCACCAAAGTATATATACAGATGGCTAGTAAAATACAAAAAGATGGTCAACATTATTTATTAGTAGGCAACTACAAATTTAAACATCTATGAGTTTCCATTGTATACATATTACAGTGACTAAAATCTCCAAAATACTGGCAATATCAACTTCTTGGTGTACCAACTTGTGGATGCAGAATAACAGGAATTCTCCCTTATTGCTAGTGGGAATGCAAAAGAGTTTGGTGGAGTCTCACAAAATAATCACAATTTTTACCAGATGATCAGAAAACTGCACTATTAGATTTTCAGCCACCCAATATAATGACATATCTATACCAAACCTGTAAGTGAATATTTATAACAGTTGTGTTCATAATCACTAAAACCTGGAAGCGATCTGGATATCTTTTAATATATGAATGAATAAATACATTATTGTTACATACAGTGACATATTCAGTGATTTTAAAAATGAGCTATCAAGACAAAAAAAAAAGACTTTAATGAATCTGAATGCATGCTTCTGTGTTTAAAGAAAGCCAACCTGATAAACATACATGATATGATTCCAAATATATTGACATTTTGGAAAAGAGAACAGTACAGATGAGAACAAAATCAGTGTTTATAGGGGTTCATGCTTAAGTGTTAAGTAAGTGAGTAAGTGAAGCATGTGGGATTTTGAGGGTAGAGAAAGTATTTTATGACTGTAATGGTGAATAAAAAACATTATGCATTTGCCAAAACTCACAGAACAAAGAGTAAACCTTAACATACACAAATAATTTTAAAAAATCCTTTGTAATGTTTAGGGATCCCATGATGAAATAATAAATATGAAAAGACTATTTAAATATATTATGAATGTATGAAACCATTTGACTAAAGGAAGTGGCATAATAATGTGCTATCCTAAGTCACTCTAGAAATGAACAGGGTCTGTGAGAATAAAGGGCCAAGGAACAGTACTCTAGTGGATAAAGTCATTGCTCTTGGTGGTATGAACTGATAATCCTAAAACTACTATGCATGTGTACTGGCATAGAACAATTAAGCAAGTGGATAGTGGATAGTAGGAGGCAGATTTCTCACTTTTGCAGTGACACATTTCAAATAAAGGGAGGAGTCTAGAATGATCCTGTGGTAATGGATTTGAATTGGAGACATGAGCATAACCTCAAGTTTAGCTTACTCTTAACACAAATGATTTATGTATTTGTGTGTGTGCATGCATCACAAGTTAGCATATATGTGACCTTGTTCTGAGAGGTAAGAAGCACTAGAAGCAATGAGATCTTAGTAGCAACAAACACCCAGCTAACATCTGACCTTGGTTTTTAATACTGTTCTCCAATAAAAGGAAATGGGAATCCTTGGAGAAATGGTTAATTAAAGAACTAGTGTGGAAAATAAAATGAACCTATAGCATCTTGTAAGGTCAGGAAGTACAAAAGTGCTAAGAAAAAAATAAATAAATAAAAACAAAATATGCAGCCATTGGGTATATCAGACTGGTACAAATATCAACAATAAAAGCTGGTAATGACCAAAGTTTGAAAAATTGAGCAAGTAAATATTACATTTTAATTCAAAGTATAAAATGAATATTCATGACTATGAATTGATGTGAATAAGTAATCAAATAAATAAATAAGTGATAATGGACAAATATTCCATGCAGAATTCCAAATAAATTTTATGCATATACTGCCTTTAAGGAGATCATAACTGTGCATTCTTTAAGTGTGGACTGCACATTCTGACTTTATTCCAAAGAGTGTAGTATAAAAGTGAAAGAAAAAAAGTAGACTTACAGTGAAGAAACCTAGCAAACACTATGTCCTGTCAGGTGATCAATGTTGTCAACAATGACAAATGACATTGATTAAGTGCATGCTTTTAGCATGATGAGAGGATAATAGTACTTTTATTCTGTATTTTTCCACCCCAAAATCGATAACCAAAATAATAATGAAATAAACATGTCATAAATCCTAACCTTGGAACATTCTATAAAATACCTGACTTGTGCTCAAAACTGTCAAGTTTGCCAAAGACAAGGAAAGTCTGAAAAACTATACAACCAAGAGGAGACTAAAAAGATATATGGAATAGAAAAAGTATGTTGAGGAAAAATTGAAGAAATAGAAATAAAGTCTAGACTTCAGTTAATAATAAAGCATCCATATTAGAAACTGGGCATGGAGGATGTGGGAGATCTGTACTATTCTCATAGTTTTTCTGTGAAACTCAAATTATTATAAATCATAAATTTTATTTTAGATAATTCTACAGAACTAATTGAAATAGCCCATTAATTAAGTGGTTTCTCTCCCTTCGAATGTTTTCTGACATTTAGCTTTTAATTATTTGTTATTGCCACTTTGTAAAGAATAATTATGGTGTCAGAGCCAAAGATCTGCAGTTCTAAATGTCTGTAGATATGGTTCCTTTATGCCTAACTTGATTCTGGTTTTCCTGGTAATTCTGGTTTTTATTTGATGAGTTTCCCTGTGAGCAGGCACATAAGTGTTCTAAAGTGGAAGGCAAAAAATAATCCATTGCCCATAATTCCAGGTTATGACAATTCCTACAAAGCAAGATGAGTTGAACTTGGTATAATTTCTGTACTGACCTTACTATCAACCCTCTTTATCATAGTCAGTGTCCAGAAGGATACATCTGCGTGAAGGCTGGCCGGAACCCCAACTACGGCTACACAAGCTTTGACACCTTCAGTTGGGCCTTTCTGTCCTTATTCCGTCTGATGACTCAAGACTACTGGGAGAACCTTTATCAGTTGGTAAGATCCAAATTAACATGAATAGAATCTTTTTTGAACATATATAAAATTTTAAGTATGGATATTTGTTTAAAATACTCTGGAATACATAAAAGGGTCTGGTATAAAGTAAGTGTGCATAGAATCCTCACTGCTCAGTCAGTTAGATAGATGGAGAGTTGCTTATATAAAAGGCATTCTGCTAAGGGCTGTAGCAAATGCAAAGAAGGTTCATGGCTTTGAGGAGTTTATAACCTAGTCATGGAGATTAGAAACAGCATGTAAAAGGATTTTACAAAGTCAATTATACAAAATTTTCAAATTAAAGCTATAATTAATTGAGGCTAAAAGAGGAAGGAAGAAAGGTGTCTCTTCTAGAAGATTTAGAGGAGGATACTATGGGTGAGGAGCCCAGTGTTCTCCGTTGTTCTATCACCCTCCTTTATTCACCCTTCAAATATATATCCAAGATGCACTAATGTGAAATGTATTTATATCAGATGCACTATGGTCAAACTTCTGATAATTTGATTATTACTTTCGTATGTGTGTATGCTTGCATATTTTAGGAGCAAAAGAAAATTGATCAAAATAAATTGAATATTAAAAAGCATTCATCTCTTGATTTCTAATTGTGATGATTAGATCTTTATTCGGGGACCCTATTCTAAAATATTGATAAACTTCTCTTTTCTCCCCTAGACATTACGTGCTGCTGGAAAAACATACATGATATTTTTTGTCCTGGTGATTTTCTTGGGCTCTTTTTACTTGGTGAATTTGATCCTGGCTGTGGTGGCCATGGCCTATGAGGAACAGAATCAGGCCACAATGGAAGAGGCAGAACAGAAGGAGGCGGAATTTCAGCAGATGCTCGAACAGCTTAAAAAACAACAGGAAGAAGCTCAGGTACAGAGTGATAAATAAGTACAGCTTTATTATTGTTTCAGTTATTTAGTAGGAATATTATTGTACCACAGGGGTTAAGTTGGAGCTAGCTTCTCATTTTGACTGTAGAAATTACCATTAAAAAAGAAAATCATTCAAACTTAAAATTGTTTCTGAAGTTACAGCCCAAGAGTTCTTTAGACACTATACATTACCAAGAAATTAGCTAGTAGCTAGATAAAGCATTAGAGATAGAGTTTACTATATGGTTACCTCATGGAAACTGAGGGAGGAATCTAATTTTTAGTTTAATTTGAAAAAGAAGTATAAGTGGCATTTCCAACTATTATTGTTTCACCTCTAATTTTCCCGTTTTCTTCTGAAGTTAATTGATTTTTAATATCAAAGAGATGACATTATGTATACCAACACTTAACCATTCTTCAGGACATCTGCATTGCAAAACTTGTTTGCTACAGTCCATATCAAGATATTAGGAAATCATAAGAAACTAAATACCAATTTCAGATTTTTATTAGTATTAAAGTTGATTTGGTTAGGAGTTTAGTGAATGGGTCACTCAGGTCTTAAGGAATGCAGATAGGAGCACAGTATTGGACTAAACAGGGAGCAGGGGAAAACATGTATTTTAAGATGAAGACCATGAGAGACTGTGAATATCTGATTCATGTCAGTTGCAGATACAATTCTTTTACATATTTGACAACACTTGATATGGGCAGTCTTTTTAATTTAGGTCCTTCTAATAAGCATCTCATTGCTATTTTAATTTGCATTTTCCTAATGCTTTTCATGTTATTATTTTTTACCTGTATACCTCTTTTATGAAGTGACTGTTCAAAACTTCATCTATACTCTTTCTTTGTTAGTGTTTTTAGTTAGGCTTGGTTTTGTATGAATTTAGTTTTGAATGTTCTTTATATATTCTGGGTACAAGTCCTTCGTTATATATATTATTTGTGCACATATATGATGCTTTGCAAATATAATCTCCCAGTTGTATACACACACACTCTACTAGGAGATTATATTTGCAAAGCATCATATATGTGCACAAATAATATATATGTATACACACAGATAATATATATGTATACACACTCACACACACACATACACACACACACATATAACCTCTGAGACACATTCCAAGATTTTTAAATAGTTTTTTTTATTTTCAAACAGCGCCTCACTAAATTGCGGAGCCTGGCTTTGAATGGGCATTCCTCCTGTCAGTACAATCCTCCTGACTGTCAAGCCACTGGGATTATAGGCATGTGCCACTGCACCCATCTACTAACTGTATTTTTTGAAGCAAAGGTTTTTAATCTGAATTAAAAATTCCCTGGGAGGGCTCTCAAAGAAGATAGGCTCAGCAGAGATCTGAATAAAGTGTTTTCTTCCTAGGTACAAATCTCTCTATGCCAGGTGTCCCACAGGACCTTCCAGTCCCTTAAAGGAAAAGAACATGGAGGCAACTTCCTCCTCACATGTTTCATTTTAGTTTATTTAGTTTATATAATTTTTGACTTTTTAAAAACTCAATGATTTTCATGTTGCATCTAAGAAATTATTGCCAAATAAAGATTTTCTCCTGTATTTTCTTATAAATCCAAATCATTGTATATTTCACATGAAGGTCAATGACTTGTTTTAAGTTAATTTTTGCATAGAGTGTGAGTATTATATATTCTTTTTTTGCATGTGTATATGGAGATATTCCAACAACACTTATTGAATATAATATCCTTTCTCCACTAAATTGACTTTGAACCTTCATCAAAATGCATTCTGTTAGTCTGTTAGACTAACACACGTTAGTCTGTCTGGGGGATTTATTCTGTCCAGTTTATTTGTCTTTCTTACACCAATGGCACACTCTTTTAATTACTGTAGCTTTTTATATGCCTTGAAATTAGATTATGCTAGCTCTTCAACTTTAGTTTTCTTCTCAAAGTTGTTTTGTAGTTCCATATGAGTTTTAGAATAACCTAGTCTATTTCAGTTTGGTTAATTTCTACTGCTCTATCTTCAAGTTTATCATCTTTTCTCAGCAGTGTCTAATGTGCTGTTAATCCCATCGTGTGTGTGTGTGTGTGTGTGTGTGTGTGTGTTTGGTACTAGGAATTGAACCCAGGGTTACTTTACCACTGAGCCACATTCCTGCCCCCACCTTTTGTATTTTAGAGACAGAGTCTCACTAATTTGCTTAGGGCCTTGATAAATTGCTGAGGCTGGCTTTGAATTCACAATCCTCCTGCTCCAGCCTCCCAAGCTGCTAGGATTACAGGTATGCACCATGATGCCTGGCCATTTAGTGTGTTTTTAATCTCTGCTATTATCATTTTCACCAATGAAAATTGAAACTATGTCTTCTTTTTATTTTCTAAGTCTATAATTAATATTTTGAACGTACACAGTGCAATTTTAATTAATTAATTAATTTATTTATTTATTCGAATTGGTTTTCATGACAGCAGAATGCATTTTGATTTATAGTACACAAATGAAGCACAAGTTTTCATTTCTCTGATTGTACACAAAGTAGAGTCACACCATTCATGTCTTCATACATGTACCTAAGGTAATGATGTCCATCTCATTCCACCACATACAATGCAATTATAGCAATATTTTAATGTCCTTGTCTGCTACTTCTAATGTCTGTGCTGGTCATTGGTCAGTTTCAATTAAGTTGCCTCTTCATCTTGGGTTAAATATTCTTTCTTTTATACATTTATGACAATCTTAAATTCAGAAACTGACCATTTTTGTTTTGGGGGTGCTAAATAGGACAAGAACAGCGTTTAATCTAAGGCTGATTGTTGAACACTACTGAGGGAAGCCATTTCCTAATACTCTACTCAATGGCCCATTTAAAATGAAGTTTTTACTAGTGTTGCTGGTAGGAACAGGCATACGCCGCTGGCTCTGTATACATGGTAGGTGGCATTTCCTGTAATCCTTAGCCTAATACACATGCATTGATGAATATTTTTCTCAATACTCATGAGGGATCTCAGAAGAGCTCCAGAGTTCTCTGTTCAGCCCTTTCTTCTAAGATGCCTGTCCTATGAACTGTAGCCACCTTAGAGTTCCTGGACACCTAGTTCTGTGTCTTCCACTTATGGAGCCCATACATAGGCCTTCCTTGTCCTTTAGTCTGGAAAGCAATGCTGCTCTGTATTACCCTACCTTGGCCAAAAGCAGAAGTCCAAATAATATTTTTATATACTGACATTTTAGAATTTTTTTCTCAGATGAATTAATTCAGATATTTATTCTTTAAATGGCAGTATATGAAGTTTAAGTTTTTAACAATTATGAATTACTTTGAAGATTCACAATATTTGGTCTTTTTTTGAAGCATTTTTGGTAAAACAGGGACTTGACAGTGAGTGGCCTAGCTAATTCCTGACCTCAATCATGTTAGCACCTGCTGAACTCAGTGCAGGCTTTTCTATTTGCCTCTTACCCTGAGTAAGAAGTTGCAATATGATTTTACTCTATTGATTTTAGAAGGAAACTATGGAGAAATTTGAAATATTTGGAATCTCATAAACTATCCCTCATACTTTCCAAAAAGTTTTATTCATATCCGGAATTTTTAGGGAGTTTTATTTCATCTTACTATAAATAAAAGACATTTGTAAGATAGCAAAATAGCTATTTAGAGAGTAAAGACATTTCTTATTTCAAAGTTTTAAATAAATGTTATAACAAATAATATTTACACACTGCATATAATTTTATATTAAAGCATTAAGTTATCATATTATTATTTGTAAATGCAGACAAGTTTATGTGTTTAAAAATGCCACACAGAAAACAGTACAAAAAGAGTAAGTTATTCTAAGATGAAGCCTCTTTAAGGTAAAATATGACATCAGTTAATAAGAGTGTCATCTTTTTGAATTTAGAAATAAAAGTGCACTATGTCTAGTAGAATTTTAAAGAAGCTAATTATCTCTATTAAAATTTAGTCAGCAAAAAATGTTAATTATATGTACGTAATAATCAGTTATTAGATTCCAGTGACTGAATCTTGATTTGACTTAGCTTTTTCTTTACAACATTTAAATTGATCCCAGAAAAAAATGTTTTAACCTTTATTGTGATTGCACAGTACCAAATCAATTTTAGTTTCTTCTTGATATCACAGGTTACAATGACTGGTGGACAGCCAATACTGAAACAGAAGAGGGAATCAGAAACAAAACTCGTGCTGGAGGGAGGAGGGAGTTAAAAAGCATTAGTGCACTCCTGGAATTATTCATACTGCAATATAGTCTAAATCTTGCTCACCACGTATGACTCTTCAGAACTGACTCTTTTGCTAATGACTTCACAAAGCCTAGCATCACTTCCACTTTATTTAATACCACTGAGGGTCCTTGTGTGGTTTTAGTCATTGTTTAGACATGAAAACATGACATGTACAGCTCAGGGGATTCACAAATCAAGTGCAACTTTTAGAGATGGAAAAAAGACCAATCCTACAAGAAAATAAAAACTTTGCTAGAGATCAATGGAATTATGTTTGGCATTTATGATCTTTAAATGCCTAATAGTGACCAACTTTAACATATCCCATTGTGATCTACATAGGTCTGACAGGAAAATACTTAGGAGTCAGTTGTAAGACAAAACTAGAAATAGCATTTAAGAGATGCAATAATTAGGGGTCAAATTGAAACAGGTACAGTTAATGTCTCATGGTTTTAAATGGGATTTTACCTGAGTTCTAAATTTAAAATGAAAGAACTATTAGGTTTTTTTTGAAGACACATAGAGACAGGAAGTTCTGGAGCCTGTTTTGAACCACAAAGAAATGTACTAAGAAAATGTTCTTACCTGTGTAAGTATATTAAACACTAACTGTTATTTGTTACAAGAAGAATTCAGGAAGTTGGTTGTGAAAAAAATTGCTATTATTCTAAATAAGCAGGACATTGGCGGTGTCGCAGACATGAGAGATGACAGGAAACATCTGCCTTTCAGGGAATCAGCAAATCTCTGAAAGTGGAACAAGTGACAGATATGAGTTGATGAGTGACAGAGAAAATGTGTTGTGTCGGAGGTTACCTTTGTTGCCTTAAAAAAAAACGTGTTTTGGTTTTTAGTTATTTGAACTGCTACTCAGAATAGATAGGGAAATCATGCTTATGCAAAACAAATTCCAGACGTGATTTGAATGAACATGAGTTTCATGATTATGGCAAGGGAATAGTACCACCACTTCCTTTGTTTCTAGGGACAAACAAGTTGATAAATGATATTTCTGTGTGTTGAGTACATGTGTCTGTATAATGGGGAAAGGAGAATTAGGATTGTATTTGGCTAAAATAAAAGATATATGTTGACATTTGTTAGCTCCTTCAAAAAATGGCATATATTATGTACCTCTATGGATCAAGCACTTTGCAAACATAACTTACTACAGACAAGTGCTTAATTTATTTGCCTTGTTATACTTATGCAGTCATGTAGTAAAAGATCTTATCTCCCATCTTTTACCATGGATGATATGGGAAGTATTAGTGCCAATCAATAGTCATAAAGAAAGTTGTCTAATAATATGCAATTTTATAAATATCTGAATTGCAAATTAGGATGTAAATAAATGCTAGACATTGTCTTATATCAAGTCTTTGATCTAGGTTTTCCATGTGAATATAGCACTCGGCATAAACTAATATTCGTGTTGCTGAGTTTAACACATAAATTTAGCACTATATTTAGTACTACAGTTAGCTCCTCTGAGGTCATGTTAATCTTAGAAAATCCACGGGATAGCTTTTTTGGTTTCAAACATTTTATACTTCATTTGAGATGACATTCAGAAATAAAAACTACTTGTTTCTTTTCAGCAAGCAAGAAATAAAGCACAAAGTATTTTTGAGGCTGTAAATGGGTTTTACCTTTATTCCTTCCTAAAATAAGTTGCTATTTTATCAACCATTCTTTACAAACCATCATCTTTTATGAGATCTTGAAAAGTCAGGGCTCACATGTCTGCCCCCAGTCACCCCCCACCCCAGTGTCTGAGAAAATTGACAATAAAATGCTTTTGAAACCTTTATGCTACAAAAATTTACTGAGCACCTTTTACGTCAGATGACATACCAGTCACTGTGCAAAGAAACAATGACAAAATTCCCGTCTAATTTACAGTCCATGTGGGAAGAGAGACAAAATGGTAGATAAATTAGAGTTGTTTTTATTTAGTAATGTGAAAATTTTAATCAGTGTTTTCATAATTTAATTATTTTCACTTCTATGGTTTTGTTTAAAAACAGGAACATACCTAATGAGAATTCAGCTTTGATATACATCATATTGTTTCATATCCTCTCTAAGTCATGACTGAATCATTTCCAGTCTAAACATGTTCTTAATATAGATTAAAGTACAAAACATTTGTCATGTTTAACCTCAGAACTGTCTGTGTTTCATTAGCAGGTACAGAAATTCAAGATGCTTAGTAATACTTAGGGCTGAAATGTAGCAAGAAAATATTTGAAAAAAATTCTCATAATCTCTTGAAAAAATGTTCACATATTTACTTATTGATATGTTAATCATTTACAATAAATAATAATAAATTTGTAAATATTTAAATTTTAGAACAAAAAGTGATATACAATCAATTCTCTGAAATTAACATAAGCCCACAGATGTAGACTATATTCCTAAGTGTCATTCAAATAAGTGAGGGGGAAAACTAGCCAATACATTCCCACTACTTCTATCTAGAGGTAAAATAGTAGATACTATAAAAGTTTTGAGTTCACAAAAAAAGGAAAGTATTTTGTCCTGGATTTAAAGGACAGTTACATATTGGAGAAATAATCCAATTGGCTAAAATGGAATAGTGACCAGAGGAGCAACTACTACTAACAAAGCATTTACTTTTAAAGTGTAGACGACACAGACAACACTTTACAAGAGCAAACATCCCCTAAACTGAAGTTGATCTCAACAGAGATGAACAAGGGCAGACTTTACTTGCCTTAATATATAGAGTACCAGATAAATTTATGCTATTTATCACAGAAGGGTTATTTTAAAGTAAACTCTCCTGGCAAAGCAAAATAAAAACCCAAAAGCCTTAATTCACACATATAGTTAATAGTCTCAAATGACAGCACTTGAACTGTGGTCAACTGACTTCCAAGTTACACATTCTGAGCAGCACCTGTCTCTGTCTTACACAGGCAGTTGCAGCCGCATCCGCAGCTTCAAGAGATTTCAGTGGAATAGGTGGCTTGGGAGAGCTCTTGGAAAGTTCTTCAGAAGCATCAAAGTTAAGCTCCAAAAGTGCCAAGGAGTGGAGGAATCGGAGAAAGAAAAGAAGACAGAGGGAGCATCTCGAAGGAAACAGAGAAGGAGACAGGTTTCCCAAATCTGAATCTGAAGACAGTGTCAAAAGAAGAAGCTTTCTTTTCTCCATGGATGGAAACCGGTTGACTGGTGACAAGAAGTTCTGCTCCCCTCATCAGGTACAGATGTCTATTGGGAGCTCTGGTTTGTTTTGTCATTGCTTTTGCCTTCTAATTACCATATTTCATTTTGGTGCATCTTTGTAGTATTTAACTTGAGTGACAGGCTTCTAACGTTTAATACAGTTATATATTAAAATTATAAATTCTTTAAAAGAGATTTTTTAAAATTAAACCATTTATACCTTTTAAGGGAATCTATTTTAAACATTTTCATGATTTTGAGACCATATTTTTTTTTTAATGAGAGAGAGAGAATTTTTTAAATTTTTTTTTTTTTTTAGTTTTCGGTGGACACAATATCTTTATTTTATTTTTATGTGGTGCTGAGGATCAAACCCAGTGCCCCATGCATGCCAGGTGAGCGCGCTACCACTTGAGCCACATCCCCAGACCTTGAGACCATATTTCTTAATTGGTCTTTTTTTTTTTTTTTTTTTTTTTTTTTGGTACAACCTGCTTATCAGACTTTTTAGTGGGATAGTTTTGGAAGCTCTTGTTAATCTTTTTCATTTTGAGACCTCAGAAAACACTATTTTGCATGTGTGGGTCTCTCTGCCTTTATCATCTGAGACTGTAACATGTAACATGTGTATGAATTTTGAAAAGAAATATCTCTGGATTTTCCTTTTGCCTTTATTTTTCGATGTGAGAATTGCACTGCTGGGAGTCTCCATTACACTGGCCTGGAGTCATGCCATGATCTATTAGAGTGATATTATGGCCTAAATGCTTCTGAAGAGATGATATTAAAAATAGTCATTTTTCCCCGTAATTTAATGCCCACTGCCCAATGCTTTAACGTATTTTCAAGTCAAATAGGAAAAAATAGTTTCAATTCTTTGTTGTTAATAAATACTATGGATTCCATAATGTAAAGAGTAAATAGTTCTGTGATGAGGACAGTTGGGTCTAACTACTACTCTCTCCCATAATACAAATGTAAAATATGGTATTTAATCATGTAACACATTTGGGATCTATTTGAAGCCCTGTAGGGAAGTCAGTTTCTCAGAAAAAAATGTTTTGAATTAAAGAGTCACCCTTAGCTGTATGCAGTGTCCTATGCCTGTAAAACCAGCTTCTTGAGAGGGTGAAGCAGGAGGATGGCCAGTCTTAGGCCAGCTGGGGCAATTTAACAAGACTCTGTCTCAAAATTTAAAAATTTAAAAGGCTAGGGATGTATCTCAGAGGTAGAACACTTGCCAAGCATGTGTGAGATTCTGGGGTCCATAACCAGTGCAAGGAAAAAAAATAAAAGAGTCACCCTTGATATTTTGGCATTCTTAAAACTCTTGGGAGTGATTAGGATTAGGAATATTTTACAGTCTAAAATAATGATTGATACTATAAATGTTTGTGTTAAGTTCTCAACTCCAAACCAGTTCTGTGACCTTGGTCAAGTCACTTGTACTTTGAAATTTTCTGTGAATTTTCCCATATGTCTTAGAAGGTTGTGGAGAATAAAGCAATGTATGGAAATTCTATGTAACAAAGAGAAAGTTTCTTATTAAGATGGGTGAGTGAATTTCAAATGAAGATGCTAAAAACTTTGAGTAACTCAATTATAAATGCATATGTATAGGGAGTAATATTTACATGAGCATATTTATGTGCTTTTGAAAATAGTATTATTTCCTTTATAGAATAAAAACTGTTGATTAATTCACTTAGTCAAACAACAAATGTATTATCACTTCCCATGTGGCACAAATAGTGATCCTGGATATACCTCAATGAACAAAGAAATTCAACTAGCTGACCTCAAGGAACTTTTTTCTAAAGTTTAATAAACAATAAACAAAACAAATTAGTTAAACATTGTGCTAGCAGGCAATAATTGCTAGGGGACAAATTAAAGCAATCAATGGGAACAAGAGAAATAGTTGGAAGTAAATTTTTCGATAAGGTGGTTTAGGAAATCTCCCTTGTGAAAAAGACATTTTGACTAAGATTTAGAGGAAGGAAGTGACTGTCTGATGGAACAACATTCCAGGCTGATCTGATGGAAGTGCAAGAACCTCATGTGGTGGAACACCTGTGCTGTCAAAGAGCAGCTCAGAGGCCTGAGTTGCAGAGGCTCACCCAGCTGACAGAAGTTGGTAGAAGAGGGAAGTTGGCTGACAGCAGGTTTTAACACTGAAAAGAGAATCAGTCTATGCATATGGTATATGTGGCTCATTTTCTATTTATAGATAGGTATATGGATAGATAGACAAAATTTCAAAAGCAAAAGAAATGACCAATTAGCATTCAATTTACAAATCCTAGTAAAGACAGGAAGAGGGCATTAACACAACTCACAGGCAGAAATAAGCCAGAAGCAATTTACAGTTCTGGCTTTGTCAACAGAAAAGGTCTGTCTCTGGTAGGAACAAGAATCCTTGCACAAGATGGACAGGGCATACTGTTTAAAACAAATACAATTACTGAAAAATGTCAAAGCATAGAGGCCATAAATTATGGGCACCTTGTCCTCTACTAATGTTAATTTTAAATGTTAATTTACATTTATTATATTATCCTATTTTTCAATATGTAATGCATAGTAGTGTTGAAAAATGAAAAAGTATTTAAAGGTGACCGTGGAAACTGAATCTGAACAAAGACTATGTTGCTTGAATACACAAAGGCATTTTTATTTTAAACTAGAGGTTTTGTAGCTAGAACCAATTGTAGTTATTGACTTATTAGAGACAACAAAAAATGCATACATTTAACTTAAATTTTTATTTAAGAATTTCTAACAAATATTCATTTTACATTTTTCTTGAAATTTCCTGCAACTTTTTTCTTCTTGACTTCCCAGTCCACTTTGAGTCTAAACCTACATGCAGAATTGTGCCATACAGCCTTAGTTCTGTATTTTATTTTTGCTATTGAAAATTAAGAATAAGTTTTTACTTTCTTAGAACAGGTAAAAAATAGAATAAATCCCTGAAGCTTATTTCTTGGCAAGCCTGAGACAGAGAGAGATGGCCTCTGTTCAGCATCAAAGCTCTTTTTCCCTGAGAAAGGGTTGCCACAGCTGTGGGTATTCCCTTCACTCTGCTGTGTCTTCTAGTGTGTTATTTTTGGTTTATTTTCTCTGAATACTATTTTTGCTATCTTCTTTTTTGGTCTCTGTTGCCTTGAAAGCTGCGCTCACACCCATTATTATACTTTCCAAAGAGTGAATAGAAGTTTCAAATAAACTGAAAGATTCGGAACGCCTCTGAAAATACCCCAACATAAAAACATGTAAATTAAAGGCATGTACCAAATCTGTTACAGATGTGAAAACATACCAAATACCCACGACCAATATTACGCAGGTAATTTTCAGTTTTCAGAGAAGGTTTTATGACATAAATGTATTAAGACGATTACATTGAACCACCCAAAGGATTAATATAAGGGATTAGATAATATAAGATTGTGTATCTCTAAGTGTAAAGTGAGGTCCACCTGCGTTAGGAACCACCTAGAGTATATGGTAATTATTCAGATCCCTGAATCCTAGCTCCAGCTGCCTTAGTCTGTTTTGTGTTTCTATAACAGAATAGTTGAAGCCTGGATAATTAATAAATAAAAGACGTTTATTTTGACTCATGTTTGGAAAGCTAGGACGTCCAAGAGTATGGCCGTAGCATCTACTCAGCTTCCCGTGAGGGCTTTGTGAATTGAAGGTCAAATGGGTGCATACAGAAGAGAAAAGAGGGGATCAAGTCTGGTATCTGCTAACCTGTTCCCACAAGAAAAGCATCAATCTAGTCATTATGGTTCTGCCCCCACTTCCTTCTAAGCCCCATCTCTACATAGCCACATTGAAGAATGAAGGTTTTGACATGAACTTTTTTTTTTTTCCATTAGAGCAGCATAGTTATACACAGTAGTTGGGTTCACTTTGACAAAACCATACATGCAAGAAATTTGATTTCAGTTCTTATCGCCCCATTCCTTTCCATTTCCTATTCCCTTCCTTATTCTCCTTCATCTACTCTATTGATCTTCTTTTCACTCCTTTATTTATTTATTTTTATTGGTATATTCTACATATGCATAAAAAGATGAAATTCCTTATGGTAAATTTATATATGCACATAACATGATTTTGTTAAATTCATTGTGTGTGTATGCCACATTTTCTTGATCCATTCATCTGTTGACTGGCATCGGGGTTGATGCCCTAATTGACTATTGTGAATTGTACTGCTGTAAACATTGAAGCAACACCTCAACTTTTGAGACACATATTCAAACCACAGCATCTACTTTCTCAATCACAATTCCAAAAAGATGGGGCCTAAAAGTTCATATTTTAAACTCTCAAAGTGATTCAAACATAAAGTTTCAAAACACGAGTTCTGAATATAACCAATAATATATTGATCATTTAAATTAAGTGATGAGACTAACTTTATAAATTGAGGAGGTTTTAATCTCCTGAATGCTTTGATAAGAAGCCAGTCTCACTACTGTTTAGCATTAGGTAGACACTTCTGTAGGAACTGAATGTCACAAAGACACAGCCTCAGGTTCAATATGCTAAACAGCCATCAGTTCCTGTGGAGAATTTAACCAAATCCAAAGAAACAGTGCCATTTCTGGTGAATAGTCTCTCTCAAGAATATCACTGGGATGGAGGGCAACAAAATTATTCTGCTGCTTTGGAGTCTGGGAGAAGCCATAAAAAATAAAGCTAAAAATGGGACCTAAGAATATCAGCCTGGCCTAATTAGGCAGAGAGACCAAAAATAATCCAATAGAGTCTTCTTTTCCTATGTTTTTCCGCTAAAAAGTATTTTATGTGCTTTTACACTAAAACTTAGAAGGAAATGTGGAAGCAAATTTGCTGCTAGCATATGCATATATATGCATACATCTATGTGAGTGTGTAGGTATATTACCTTGGCTGCAAAAAGAACTAGGAAAGGGAATGGGAGACCAAGCAGAGGGGTCAAAGAAGAGTGTCAGCATTAATATCGAGGGAAGTAAACAAATATTCTGCAGACCAAATACAAATATTTTTGAAAATTGTCACTAAGAGTGCAATAAACACAGAGTTATCTGATGCTGCTAGTTTAAATTTCACTCAAAAAGTTAAAGATTTAACACTGAGATAAATCCCCATTTTTCTGGTACTAGAAAATCAATTACTTGATTTATTATGAATGTCAATAATAAAAACAATTTTGTGGGCTGAGGATGTAGCTGAGTGGCAGTATTCTTGCCTAAGTTGTGTGAGATCAAACCTGGGTTTGACTTCAGAGACTGAAAAAAAAAATCATGTCTAATCAAGTAGTATTTTTTATTATAATTACAGTATTAAAGTGAAGTCAGAGGAATAAGCTATATTCTCCATTTTATTCTCTATCACCCTTTTTGGTAAAGTCATCTTATATGTCTTGTCTCTTTAAGCTGGTATTAAATTTTAAATAAGAATACTAATGTATGGTAATAGTTTAGGAAATCCTCTCGACTGTGTTTTGTATGGCATGGAGTCACTCAAATAAAGTGAATCATTGGTTGCCATTAGAGAAATTATTAGGAAATTTGGAAGACAGCATTTAAGTAAAGTTTTGTGACTTTTATTCCTATGTGGATAGAATCAAACAGAGCCACAGAAAATCTTGATTTTAGAATCCAGAAAAGAGAATGGAGAAAAAATGGTATTTTTTTCAATACTATAATTATCAAAATGTAAACTGGTTGAATTTAAAATTCAAACTGAGCCAAAACCTATTTTCGAAGTCACAAGCCCTTCAGATCATAGTGCCACTTGCACCCAAAAAAAGAATCATTTATCCTTTCCAGCATCTGAACCCTTACCTACTATAGCATGGTAATGCAATCTGTCTCATACTAGAGTGAGGTTGTGCACTTGGTGAATTGCAAATCAGGATTCTTAGCCAGAACAACACTTAAATCATTTTATGGTCATTAATAAAAATATCAAAACACATATGTTTCCTATAAACTGATTGCCCATGTTTAAAAGCAAGATTACTCCAGCGCAAAAGCAAATCATTTCTACAATATTAAGATTTTTATTAAATAACTGTGTCCTACCCCACCCCTTGCCCCCAATTCCTTTCTTCCTTGCTTTCTCCTCAGTCTCTGCTGAGTATCCGTGGATCCCTGTTTTCCCCAAGACGCAATAGCAAAACTAGCATTTTCAGCTTCAGAGGTCGGACAAAGGATGTCGGATCTGAAAATGACTTTGCTGATGATGAGCACAGCACATTTGAAGACAGCGAGAGCAGGAGAGACTCACTGTTTGTGCCTCACAGACATGGAGAGCGACGCAACAGTAACGTTAGTCAGGCCAGTATGTCATCCAGGATGGTGCCAGGGCTTCCAGCAAATGGGAAGATGCACAGCACTGTGGATTGCAATGGTGTGGTTTCCTTGGTGGGTGGACCATCAGCTCTAACGTCACCTACTGGACAACTTCAGCCAGAGGTGATAATAGATAAACTAGCTGCTACTGACACTGTACATCAATTCAAAATGATCCAAAGGCCTGGGCAGTTTAGCCTGTTATACCATCTCATTTCCCCAAAATGAAAGTCTTTAAAAATAATACCTGAATGGAAAACAATAGAATATTGAGAACCAATTGAATTGTATGCAACCATTACCTTTCAAATGCTTTATGTTAAAAGAACTTAATTTTTAGCGTCTGGAATGAAACCCAAAGCTGCAAATTTGGTAGACTTCCCAACACAAAATGTTAAGCACTTTGGTAATCAAATTTATTATAGACATAGATTAGATAGGTTCACCCGAAATTATAAAATTATCTATTTATTTATATTCTGAAAAGTTCTTGTTCCTAAAATAACTAAATATTATATGACTAATGTATTGATAATAATCAGTTTTCATACAACTGTCAATATTATAGTACAATTTAAAATGACTCTAAAGTAAAATGTGTTAATTTCTTGTAGGATGGCATATAGAAATAATTGAAGAAATCTCAGGAAAGCACACACATTTCATTGTACATCTGTGTTTGTGCATGGAAAACAAATTGGCCCATATATGTTGATATTATCAATATAGCCTCAGAGAAGATAATTTATCCTTGAGACTATATAATCATAGTATTTATCTTGGGGGAATATTGATCTGAGTGTTAATAATTTCTGTAAGCTGAAAATATAATTTGCATTTGAATGAAATAGTATTTTAGCATGCTTATAAAAATTTTCCCTGAAAAATATGACATGTTAATTAAAATATTTTGTGACATGGTTGCCTTATACAATTTCATCCAACTGGTGAATTCTTGTCGAAAGGTATCACCTGTAATATTGTCTTCAAAAAGTATTTATAATATAATAATAAATTCAATATTTTATTATTACTTGAAAGTGATTACCTGAAAAAAATTGCATGCAGCATGATTTTCCAAGGAAGTGTTATGTGTTCTTGTATTATCTTTTTAAAAGGGTGGTTTGAGCCATCAGTATTTGGTTTGCAGGGTACCACCACTGAAACGGAAGTCAGAAAGAGAAGGCTAAGTTCTTACCAGATTTCAATGGAAATGCTGGAGGATTCCTCTGGAAGGCAAAGAGCCATGAGCATAGCCAGCATCCTGACCAACACAATGGAGGGTAAGAAGCAGGCGGGGCGAGGAGGGGGATGCTCAGCTCTCTATAATATTGTATGCTTTGTGGAGCTATTCTTTCTTCTTGGAGAATTCTTTATGTTTTTTCCCCAAGATCAGAACTGCATTATGGACAAGTACATGTAAAAATTGTAGCATGATATTATCACAAAAACTGACGTTAGCCTATTTCTTTTTTACTTAAGTCCTCATCTTATCTATGGAGGGATACTCTTCTGCCTTTTTTGTTTTGTTTTTGCAGTATTAGGGATTGAACGCAGGGCCTCCTGCATACCAAGCTAGCACTATTAGCACCACTACATCTCCAGCCTTAGAATGATAATTTATCCTTGATATTGCATCAGTGAAGATCTAATCTAATGATACACTATACTTTATGTGAACACTTCCTTTTTAAAATCTGAATGTGTAGAAGTGCAGGGCAGTGGTTGTGGGATTGGAAGAAGGATGAGAATGAGTTAGACAGATCAAAACATTCCAACAAAAATCCTAAAAAATTTCTCTCTTTCATATTCCACATACACAGCAAACATGACATTCTTTCAAAGGACACTTGACATGAATGTTCATTGGTTTTAACACACAGGAATGGTCAGCAACTACTACTCCCTTGTTTACACTTTAAACAAGTCCCTACTTCTTGAAATTTGGTGCAATATTACATTAATACTGCACTTTTGTAAATCAATTATATGGATACATTCTAACAGATTTTTTAGAAAATATCAATTGCATTTCCTATTTGTCCTGTTAGCATATTAGATATCCAAATAGTCCCATAATAATTTTATAGCAGGCTTCATTTATTAAAATTACCAGTAATTTGTTTATGTATGAGGCTAGAATTCGCAACTATATGAATAAAGGGTAGTGTAGATTTGGATCTGAATCCAAAGAAGAAAGACATGTTCTCATTCTACACAAGATCAACTTCCTGTGAGGAAACAATAGGTTACAGATATTAATGAGGATCATAGCTTTAGACAATGTTCTTTAAAAGGCACTTTTACAAGAAACAATGATGTTTTGCTAAGTTTAATATTGCTGTGATGCTTATTTTAAAATTCTATTTTGATAAAGAGAATATAAAATTCTCTCTTTAATCATTATTTTGAATAAAAATGACCGAAGTGTTTATTTTCTGTGTTTAAAAGAGAAAGTCTATTTAGTAGGACTGTCTTGTCAAGTTTGTTAAGCTAATATGAATTTCTATTCCCAAGTAAGCATCAAATTTGTCAAACAATATGTAGTCTACTACCAACAATAATTCATTTTTATTGTTACTTACTACTCTTTTTTGTTATCATCCTAGAACTTGAAGAGTCTAGACAGAAATGTCCACCTTGCTGGTATAGATTTGCCAATGTGTTCTTGATCTGGGATTGCTGTGATGCCTGGTTAAAAGTAAAACATCTTGTGAATTTAATCGTCATGGATCCATTTGTTGATCTTGCCATCACTATTTGCATTGTCTTAAATACCCTTTTTATGGCCATGGAACACTACCCCATGACTGACCAATTCAGTAGCGTGTTAACTGTAGGAAACCTGGTAAGTTCATTTGAAATTTACTTATTTCCTGTGTAGGGGTAGAAGAGGTAGACCAAAGGTGGTGAGGAGACGTGTGTCCTATGTTGAAACCCCCCATATTATATCTTCTTTCTTCATAAGAAAAAACAACTAAAGGAATATTACAGAGAATCTAGGAGATACTGTCTAAAATTCACCCACTATCAATGCTGATTGTTGAGGCTAATGTTGGTGCAGACTGATCATGGTGTCAACAGTAATAAATAAACTCCTCACAATCTTCTATCTATTTCTTACTGAAAATGTAGGTCCAGAGGAATCACAAGATCCTTATTATCAGTCCTAAGGTGATAGCATTAACAGACACAGGTTTTAAAGAAATTATGTCTATTGGAGGGCTGACCAAGATTTGGATTTCCTTTAAATGGGGGAAGGGACAAGCATAATTGTTTCAAATTAATGAATTACTTAAGTGATAGTCATGGAAGAAAACAAATGGCAAAAATGCATTTGTAATTTAGCCCTATTTAAGATCCAAATTACTTGAGCATACATCTTTGCGCTAATGTACATTTCTTCCTAAATCTACATGCAAAAGAAAACAATTAAAATGGATGAACAAGTTTGCCTACTGTGACCTCTCTGTGTTAGACAGTTTTGCTTAGTTTTAACCTTCAAAATACCAAATATCTTTTCCTCATAAAAATTACCCTTATGTATAATTGAACACTCGATTTTAGTACTTAAGACTATCTTAAGAAAAGATCATAGACAAATATCAGTGATTATGTTTATTTTATTTTAATGTATCTTTAGTGCCTAATCCCTGGAAATGTTTCAGATAAAAATATATGGGATAAGCAATTCCTTTTGTAGTTTCTGGCAAGTAGTATATACCTGGAGTACATTGTTTCCTTAAGGGTGATAGAGTCATCAATGAAGATGGATGCTGTTTGGTTTATTAAGCCCTAAAGGTGATAGCATCATTCTTTCTGATCCTAGGGATCTGATCCGAGCTTTGAGGTTCAGGAACTTCCAATTGTGACTATCTAGTGTGCTTTTAGAAGCATTCTCTCATGCCTGAAGGCAGATAACTTATTATTCATATCAATTTCACATTAGAAATCTCCATCTTCTTTTTAACAGAAAGTTACTAATAAGGATAACACCTCCCAAACAGCATGTTCCTAAGGCTTTTAATACCTGTGGGCTTTTTGAAAGTTATTACTTGAGCCTAAGGTCTCTAATCAGTGAAAAAAAAAAAAAAAGCTATTTCATTCATTTTAAGTAAAATGTCTAATCCATGAAAGTGTTAGTTTCTTTCCTCTGATTCCTCCTCTCTCCTACCCTCTCATTCCTGCTGGTTTCAACAGGATGTCATGAGTTAGGATGGACATAGATAATTTATGGACAAAGATCGTCCTCTTTACTAATTCATCCCCGGTTGGAGGGGTGAGGGAGACTGACTCACAGAATGAAAAGAAAAGGTGAATCACTAAGCTTTGTAGAGGGGCTTTTGCAGTTGGGTTTCAGGAACAGTTCTTGGGTGTAGCCCAAACACTGACTGTGTCTTTTGTATTCAGGGCAGAAAACATTCAGCCACAGCTCACAGGTTTTACATCTTCTATCCTCTGCACTATAAAAAGATTAGATCTCTTTTTGAGTTGCAATTCAATGACCTTCATGATAGAGGTGTGTTAGGCATAGGTTGGTAGCTGCCCACCTCCTCTTCGTCAGCCTTGGCAGCATATGAAAACATGGCAGCCCTGAGGCATCAAGCAAGTGGAGGAAGAATTCCCAACAGATGGGGTGAAAGGAATTCTGAGCAGACAATTGCAGTATTCCTTAATAAGTCACTTCAACTTCTCTTCACTATTAGATTCAGGAGAATACCCACCATGTTCTCCACCATGTTCACCTGTAATGCTGGGGTTTTTTTTCCTGATGCATTCCTTGATCTTTTCAGTACCTCCATCCCTGCCTAATTTATCTTTTGTTTGTTTTTGAACTTTTCTTCTGATTCCTATTAAGGTATGCTTTTCACTCATCAATGCTAGGAATTACCTACTCTAGTGGTATAACTTTTGTTCAAGTCCTATATGTACAACTGTTATAGATCATAGTTCAAGGATTACTTTAGATGAAGTCAGGGCCAGCTGGAAGGTCATCTTTCCCACAGCTTATTAGAAGTACTGTCAACATCATTTCAATTTTATATTACCTAAACTAGTGACCTTCTGGCTCCAAAGGTAGGAATATTATATTACTGCTTACTTTTCCTTTATTTCTTGTATAAACTTGATATGAAGACCCATTATTTTTTCTTTCAAGGTATGTCTTTTTATTGTAAAACTACTTGTAAAATAATATTTCTAGTACTAATCTCCATTGTTTCCTGAACAGTCAAAACAGCCCCTTCAGAAGAACCTTGTACCCATCTCTGAGAGCTGTACCACATATATACTACACAAATATAAATACCACACACATATTTATATATGTACATGTAACAAAATATTTATCTGTTATTGTTCTCTACATTCATATTTGCAATGTTCTCACTCATCTCAATTCTTTGTATTCTTTAAGGTCCAACTTCAGTGACATCTCCTCTAACATGACACTCAGCCCATATAAACATTCTTAACTCCTAATACTCTTGTGAATAAAGCAAGGTTGTATATTATACCTTGAGTTTGGATTTTCAGTCTCTTATAAATTACTCAATGGCAGAGGTCATGACACATTTTTCTTTTGTGTCTCCAACTATGCTCACATAGTGGTCACTTGATAAAGAATCCACTGGTTGATTCTATCCCCAAAGAGCTGCTTGGAGTTGCATATTTTTGTCAAAGAACACAAGCTCCTAAGTCAGGCAAAATTGGTTTTGACCATAGTAGCCCATGTTTACTAATAATATGGGCTCTGGAAAAGTATAACAAACAATCTGAGTCTTGGTTTTCTATTATTGAAATGGATGTAATAATACCAATCTCTGAGAGCCTTTGTGAAAGTCGAATGAGGTAATGTGAAAACACCTATCTCTGTGCCTGGCATGTAGCATGTGCTCATTAAACAGCTTCCTTCCTCCTTCCTTTTATATATGCTATTAACCTCTTGAACCTTTCTTTGAAACACTGATGGAAAATATTTCTGTTCTAGCTCTTGTGTTTTTCCCAGGATTTTGGACAGTTAGGGAAATTGAATAGGTGAAGAATATTTTGGAAATTTGTCAGAATAGTGCAGGAAATTGAGGTTTTATGGACTTCCAATTGAGTATGGAAGCACAAGATAAATAGATTTTGGATTTTAGGGTAAACAAATGGAAAAACACTGATCTAAAGCACAAAATCTGAGTCCTAGTCCAAGAGTCAATGCTAGGTGTCTGTGTGGTTCTGAAAAAGGTTTCTTATATCCTTGGGTCTGTTTTCTCAATACACATAATCAATGACTGTGTTGGATTAGCGAACTTCATTTCCTCCTATATCTACAATTCCATGACTTTATGGTGGTGACCTAAGTAATGAGGTAGTGGAGTAGAACAGGGAACTGATGACTAGTAGATTGCTGGTAATAAAACCATCAGTAATTGAGTTTAGTGTTGGGGAAACAGGCTCATGAAGATGGAAAGCATAGATGTCAGGGAATAGACTTGAGTGATCTAACTATGAGAATAAGAAAATTTATGATCTCTCTATCTCTGTGTACTGAAACTTCATTATAATTAATAGTAACATATCAATAAGTCATAGCTTAATTTTCAAAACAGTTTGACTATAATTTTTATGTATCTTATTTAATACTCACAACAACCTTTATAATATTTATACATATGAAAAATAATATATATTTTATATAGAGAGGAAAAGAGTTGGAAAGTATTTCATGTGTACTTAGCTGTCTTCAAACTGTATTATACCATTTAGGTGGTTGTATGGCGTATTTTGTGTGGAGTTTCTAGTTTGCCCATTAAAATATTTGTATGTCTATGGAATAGCTTATTGCTGCTCCAATAAGTTCATACTGACTTATAGATGAAGATTTAAAGGTTTTGGTTGAAGCAATAACAAAAGAACACAAAAGAGTTGTGAATCCTTTAATCTTGAATTAAAGTGCTCCTTTTTGTATCCTGTTCTTGCAGTACATAAAAATTCAATCAGTTCTTTGCTGATTAGTTTAATCAAATTTGAGAATCTGGAAGACATCAAATCTCCACTGAGTTTCTATAAGAAAACTATGTGTTTTTATAGGAATTCATTTTTGTTGTTGTTGTTGTTTAGGAAGCTATTTTAAAACTCATCCTCCCTCAGCTTCTCTAAAAGCTAGAAAGAGTCCACCAGTCATAGTAGGTTAGATAACCTCTTCATCATATAAACTTTCCCAGCCAATCTGACAATGCTAAATCTAGACTAAAATGTATCAAAAACAATGATTTGGAAGCCTAAATTAAAAGCATTCAAAATGATATAGCTTTTATTTTGAATTGCAAATTGTAACTGCAATATTTTTAAAGAGAAGTTGCACGGTAGTATTATGTTTTGGATGAAAGAGAATGAATTTAGGTTTTTAAAGAGAATGAATTTAGGTTTTTAAAGAGAATTAATTTAGGTTTTTAAATGCAGGAGACTTAGTCATTTCAGAAGACCTAAAAAGATAACCTCATGATTTTCTAAGAAGAGATATTTGAAGATCATTTAGACAGAGAATATCTAGCTCACTTTAATGCATTCCTATTGCCAGGGTGCCTTGTTCAAATAATAGCTGTTATGAAAATCTTATATAAGAAATCAAATTTGTGTAAGTTAGAACTTAAATTCACTAGGGAAACTCACAATCTGAAAAAAAATCCCATTGTGAGCTGTTCTTATTCATAAAATGAAAAAAATATATATTCTTCAAAGTTAATTCCATTATGTTCCTAGATTTTCATGTCTTAAAATGCATCTTATTTCTAGTTATATGAATGCATGACTAACAGCAGTGAAGCTGTTTTCTGCATAGCCATTTTCCTTAGATCTTGCTGGAATTAGGAAAATGAGATGTTAGCTACATTTATACTTTTATAAGAGTGGTCAAGATTTCTTTTTAAATTAATGTGATGTTTTAGAGCACCAACTAATTTTAATAATATTGTTATTTTAACATAATTCCTTCAAATTCAAAGTCTGATTTACTTTCTTAAATTGAAAGCTGAACTTTGTGATCATAAAATGCAGTCTTTACTTAAAAGAGAATTAAGAAAATTGCTTTAAAAGACTTTCTGCAAGAGGAATTCCATAACTCTTCATGTCCTTGTATATCATCACCTGTGGGTTTTTGTTTTTGTCATTTTTTCAAAAACAGGGATTGAACTCAGGGGCACTCAACAACTGAGCCACACCTCCAGCCCTATTTTTTGTGTTTTATTTGGAGACAGGGTCTCACTGAGTTGCTTAGCACCTTGCCCTTGATGAGCCTGGCTTTGAAGTCATCTTCCTGCCCCAGCTTCCTGTGCTGCTGGGATTATAGGCATAAGCAAGGGCACCTGGCTTCACCTGTGGTTTTAAGTTAAAAAACAATGTTGACTGTCTTTCATTGTTTTTCTTTTTGTTATCAAATACACATTTTTATCTAGCCACTCAAATAATTTATTAATCATAATTATGGGTATATGCATATTTAGTTTGTACTCTTGATGATTTCAAGTAAATCTCTAGCTCTGCGCTCTATTAATTCATTAACCTTAATTCTGAGGCATGCACCCAAAGATTATTATTTTAAAATAATCTTCTTTTAGGAATGTTTATAAAATTATAGAACTAAAACACTGTCTGTTTTAAAAACACAAAATCCAGAACAAAATACATATTTTAACCAAATTTTAACTAATTTTTATTAACTTTCATTAACTTTTAGATTTGTTCCTGATACAAAATTATCCCCCCAAATAAATCTGCATGTAGAAGCATAGTGTGCCAAAGGGCAATAATTCAGTAGCTATTTTTCAGGTATCAAATTTAAAATGTGAATGGTGAAATGTTTTAACATCTATATTTTCCCTGGAAATCCAGCCGATTTGTTAACTGAGCCAAACCCACCTAACAAATTACTACCTTGCTGGGGAATGTTAAACTTGAATTGGTGCTAAATTTAAAGTTTAAATAGTTTTACTCATTAACATTCTTCTTTATAAAATCCTAAAGTACCATTTTTCAGTGCCATTGAAGTGCTGCTCTCTATTTTACTTTAGGTCTTCACTGGGATCTTCACAGCAGAAATGGTTCTCAAGATCATTGCCATGGATCCCTACTATTATTTCCAAGAAGGCTGGAATATCTTTGATGGAATTATCGTCAGCCTGAGTTTAATGGAGCTGGGTCTGGCAAATGTGGAGGGACTGTCTGTACTGCGATCCTTCAGACTGGTACCTGCATACCCTACATTTACATCAAATCTCTCATTTGAATAACATATTATGAGATGTATATTTACAACTTACTTCAGCTTTTGTAATGATGTTATAATTTACATCAATATGTGATATCCTAAGAAAATACATAAGCATTCTCTTTAAAGCCAAGAATATTTTCAAAGAAAAATAAAAGTGGTTGAAACACTTTATAAGGATGATATATAAAGAACACTTTAGGGCTGGGGATGTGGCTCAAGCGGTAGCGCGCTCGCCTGGCATGCGTGCGGCCTGGGTTCGATCCTCAGCACCACATACAAACAAAGATGTTGTGTCCGCCGAGAACTAAAAAAATAAATAAATAAATACTAAAGTTTCTCTCTCTCTCTTTAAAAAAAAAAAAACATATGTTTTTTAAAATTATGTCATAAATTTCTGGGTGTTTTTTTTTTGCATTATAGTATGTAAAGAAATGCAAATAAAAATAATGGGCCTGAATTAATCTTAAATTTTTATCAACTCTATGATATTAGTAGGTACTACTTTTGAGCAAGATTCAGAAAAGTATCTGATGACTTTAGCATTTTAAATAGTATAGAAACTTTTCTGAATTATAGGAAAACATTTATATTAAAAATATGTAGGCTTTTATTGGAAATTAAGTATATGTGTATATTTTTCCAAATTGAAAGAAAGACTTTCTATCTTTTCAACAAAGTAATTTATTTCACTTTCATTTTATAAAGGTCTATGAAGAATACATAATTAATAGCTTTGATGTTTCTTTTCAGTTTCTAAAATAGAGTCTGAGGAGACATTAGCTGATAAATTTTAAAATGTTTCCAATCAAAGCAGCAATTTGTGTTCATGGTTGTATCTTTTGATAAATCAGAAATGAGTCTTAATTTTTTTTGCTTTTAAATAATATGATCTAATTTATGATTCTAGTATTATTGACACTATTTTTTTTTCTGGATTTGAAGTTGAATTAATTTAGTATGAAGAAACATAAGTTTATTCAACAGACATGGGTTTACAATGTCATATACTTGTAAAATGATGGTAACTTCCAAAATTATATCACGGTTAACACTCAGAATATCTTTCCATTTGATTACAGCTTCGAGTTTTCAAGTTGGCAAAATCCTGGCCCACACTGAATATGCTAATAAAGATCATTGGCAATTCCGTGGGGGCGCTGGGAAACCTCACCTTGGTGTTGGCCATCATTGTCTTCATTTTTGCCGTGGTTGGCATGCAGCTCTTTGGAAAGAGTTACAAAGAATGTGTCTGCAAGATCAATGAAGACTGCACGCTCCCACGCTGGCACATGAATGACTTCTTCCACTCCTTTCTGATTGTATTCCGAGTGCTGTGTGGAGAGTGGATAGAGACCATGTGGGACTGTATGGAGGTTGCTGGTCAAACCATGTGCCTTATTGTTTTCATGTTGGTCATGGTCATTGGGAACCTTGTGGTATGTATGTGTTATACATGCTCATCATAAAAAAACAATATTAGTAGATAAAGAAGGCCAGAGTGGCAAACGTGTGATTTTATAGTAAATGACTTAGTCTCAAATCCCCCTACTGGCCCTCTGAGAATGGAAAGTTACTTAGCTCTGAGACTGAGGCTTCCTATCTATGACCCTGGAATAACAAAACTGAAATCACATGGTTGATGTGAGAATAAAGTGAGGTCTATCTAATGAAAGCTCAGAAGTCATAAATACCAATTTGCTTTTACCTGATTCTTCAAAAATGCATTTTTATTATTAAGACTAATATTATCCTAATGTTAGTTTCATAAGACAATCTCCACTGAACCTAAAATAGTTATGCATTCTATATTGAAGTTCCTTTTTACATGTCTATAGTTCATATTGTTTGCTAACTCGGGGGCATGGGTTCATACTAGCAAATTTTGAAGATAAATTCAATGAAATAGAGCATTATATTTTAGCTTTGGAGTATAATTATCCAAATAATTTACCAGAGTACTAAATATGTTATTCCCTAAATTTGCTTTAATAAAGAAAAATAAATTATTGCAGTTTGATTCATTCATATGCATGGACATTGATCAGATTTAAAAGACTGACTTTTAGCTATTACTTAAAAGCATTAATGTGAAAGTAAAATTTGTATATATGTGTTAGTGCTTGAATTTCTTAGTCTTGTGTAGACAAAGTTTTTCTTTGCACAGACCCACTAATCCTTCCCTTTAAGGATACATTTTAAACAAAAAAATTACTCAAAACACTACTAGTGAGATACCTGTGAACATGGAAATTTTGCCCCCAGAATAGTAAATTAGAAAGCTTTAGATTCTTAACAATATCTGATACAGATAAAAGGAAATGAGATAGGATTCTAGCTTTGCATTTGTCTATGATGTAACATATGCTGGAACTCAATAATTACATTTCAAGCTAAAAATATTCCTATAAATAAATTTCCTTTTACACCAGAAATTGGGAATTACTCCTGTACTGCTATAGTTGTTTGGTTAATTGGGTAATTTTTCTATGTATCCTGATGACACTCTGAGAATTAACATTTCCTCATATTTTCTCAACAAAAATGAGGGAAGAAAAAGTAATTTACATTATATGGGTCTAGCCTAAACCTTTGAATAATTTTAGATTTTTCTCCATCTGTTGAGATATTTGAACACATAAATTTCAAAGTATATTTGATGGGAAATGTGTTGAGCCTTGTATAATTTGCATTTAGAAATTTCTACTGTTGCAAAAGTAATTTGTAAGGAATTTGTATTTCAAGTATATTGTTTATGTAAAGATCAGAAGGCTATTAAAGAAATAAGTTTATTATTTATACACATGAAGCTAAACATTGACTAGACAAACTGGTAAGATACAGTAAAATGATTAAAATTGAAGTATATTTTTTTTCTTCTTGGCAAATCCTTAGACATGAGGTTTTGACTTCTCACTGAAAAGTCTGAGTCAATACAATTTAAACCTTAGATCTCCTTTCTTAGTGTTCTCTGTGAGAAGGAAGAGGTGCCTGTTTTTCAGTTTTGCCTTTACAGCAGGTAGACGATATCTGGTCCTTTAAATAGTATGTGATTTCTACATGGTGTCTGAAATATAATAAGCATTCAAGAAGCATTTGTTAAAATAATTTTAGCTAAGATCTAAGTTCCCTGTTTAGCCTGTTATTTTTACACATACTTCAATACTAATAGAACTTTTTGCCTTCTTTTTCTTTTAGGTTCTGAACCTCTTTCTGGCCTTATTGTTGAGTTCTTTCAGCTCAGACAACCTTGCTGCTACTGATGATGATAATGAAATGAACAATCTCCAAATTGCAGTAGGAAGAATGCAAAAGGGAATCGATTATGTGAAAAATAAGATACGGGAATGTTTCCGAAAAGCTTTCTTTAGAAAGCCAAAAGTCATAGAAATCCATGAAGGCAACAAAATAGACAGCTGCATGTCCAATAACACTGGAATTGAAATAAGCAAAGAGCTTAATTATCTTAAAGATGGAAATGGAACCACCAGTGGTGTAGGTACTGGAAGCAGTGTTGAAAAATACGTAATTGATGAAAATGATTATATGTCGTTCATAAACAACCCCAGCCTCACTGTAACAGTGCCAATTGCTGTTGGAGAGTCCGACTTTGAAAACTTAAATACTGAAGAGTTCAGCAGCGAGTCAGAACTAGAAGAAAGCAAAGAGGTAAGTTTTGGTTGTATTTCCTATAAGAGCCACACAGTATGGTTATTCAGTATTTTTACTGTGTTTAGGTGCATTATTAAAAATTAATATGGAGATTGGGATGTAGTTCAGTGGGAGAGTGCATGCTTAGTATGAGTGAGATTCTGAGTTTGATCCTATCACTGAAAAGAAAAGTAATATAGAAGTCATATGGTAATTAAAATTATGAGAAATTGGGAAGTCTATAGAGATTTCAGCATTCCACAGCAAATCGCCATTCTGAATAATCAGTATGGTCATTTTCTCGTTAGTTGGAAAATTTGGTTGAAAATGGAGCCTTACAAAAAAAGAGTTTTATTTAATAAAGTCTACTCTATACTACATTATGCTCTTGTGAAAAATCAGTAAACTGTGGTTTTTATAATTATGCCAGTGTTATCTCCTTATTTTCTATATTAGGTTTTGCTATGATTCTTAATACAAAAGTATTGTGTATTTCTGTTCACCTCTTTACTCACTTTGATAGAGTGCTTTATTTATGAAAGTATTATATTCATGGAAATATTATATTTATTAGGAAAGTTCAAATAGTACTGATTTCATTTGTCTTGTCAAAGATAAGCACATTTGCATGATAAAGTCTTCCAGATTAACTTGAAAATACTAAGTTAGTGAACTACTTAGAAAAGTGCAATTTGAGGATTACAGTTAAACTGTAGATAGAAAATCTGCTGTTACTGTCATTACTAGTTGGAAAGGATGGAAGGAAGGAGAAAAAGGAAGGGGAAATGCACATATCTCATGGTTAGAATTCATAGGGTCTTAGGATAGTAGTTTAATGGCATCAATTCTTCAATTCTGTGCTGTGAAGAACAGGATTAAACTTTTACTATTATTTATTTATGATCTTCTTATATACACTTGGCAGCGAATCTAGCACAGATGGAGTTATAAAAGACATGTTTTAGCCTGAGGGTATAATGCTGACACCATGGGAATCAGACCAATGATGTCTGATTTTTGTGAGCATATTTTGGAACTTTCTTTTTAAAAATAAGTATGCCAACATATTTGATTTGAATTCCTTCAAATAAGTAACTGACAGTGTTACAACTCATAACTTCCTGATTTTTTCCAAGCATTTCAGAGCTGCTAAAATATAATAGTAAATTTTAAAATATTTTGAAAAAAGTAGAAGTATTTACAAAATGAAGTAGCAATATTCTTTCTCTGAATTCCACCTAAAGTCTGCTTGATGAGTTCACTTCTAATTTATATTGCTCCTTCTGGTAAACTAAGAATTTAATTCTAATTTCATTTTTCATCATCTGATATAGATTTTTTAAGAAGAAACACCAATTAATTAACAAGCATTTATTGACCACTTTTTGTGAATTTGCACTCTATTGGATAATACGGGTAAGGAAGAGTTAAAGAAGAGCTTTATAATTCTCCTTCAGGGAGATCTTAACATCTTTGAGTAAGCTAACACTTTTCACAAAATTATTAAAGACCTGTTTAAAAGTTTAATGTTGTAGGACTGCATATAAAGTTGTAAGTGTTGAGGACAGCAATAGTAGTTGTCAAATGGAAGAGATAAAATTGAAATAGGCCTGAAAGTTTGGGTCAAATACAGACAAACAGAAAATAAAAAGCAGAAACTTTCAAAAGGAAAGCCAAAGTTGAGAGTGAGCTCTTGGTATTAAAATAAGAATGTAAAACAATCATCATTAATAAAGTATTGGTGAAGATTGGAAAGTTTTGAAGTAAGTCAGAGTTTGGAATTGCCTGCTTAATCAATAAGGATTTGTTCTGAAAGAGAGGAAGAAAAAAGGAAAATGATTGGAAACATTTATTTGGTATCAAAAGTAAACAATTCAGAGAGGTAAGAGAGATTATCTTGGAGAGTGTGGTAGTGATCATTTCATAGCAATGAGATGATGACATTTGGGGCTAGGATCATGAGTAACTATAACTGGTAATTTCACAAACCTAAAGAATCCAGGAAATCAGAAAAATGTCAATGCTACTGTATAGAATGGCCTTTTTAAAAGGTTACACGTTTTATGTGGGAGAGAGATCAGCCCTCCATAACTGTGGATTCCACATCCAGAAATTCAACCAAACTCAGATCAAAAATAAAATTTTTAAATTTGAATATGAACAGACATTTTTATCTTGCCATTATTCCCTTAAAATGTAGCATAACGTCTCTTTATTTAGCATTTACATGATATTAGGTACTAAAGATGACTTAAAATATAAAGTGGATGTGCATGGATCATATGCTAATACTAAGCATATTTGTATCATGCATACCCACAGATTTTGGTTTTTGCAGGGGGTCCTGAAACTGAGCCTCAGGGATACCATGAGATAATTATGCTGAATTAGAGGTGATGGTATTGGGAATTAGAGTCTGGATAAGAAGTCAGGGTTAAAAATAGATTTGATATTGCAATTTTATAATAATTTGGTTCCCTGAAAACAGAAGTGCTTACCAAAGAATTCATTGTAAAGCAAAATTGAGAGAAGACTAGGGACAAAATAGCATGAGTAGCTTAGGGTCAAGAAAAGCCAAAGAGTTAAAGAAAGTTGTTAAGTTAAGGTTTTATGACATCACATTTATAAATTAAGATATTTAATTTCCTTCTACCAAATAGCTGGATTTCAAAATACTTCAAAACCTTCTTAAGTCTACAGATATTTCTTCTCAGTGCCTCAAACTACAAATTTGGAATACTGAGATAGCCTTTTCCTCATCATCAGTCCTTCAAAACATTTACTACCTGAACAAAAAAATTTTTATTGGGTGAATTTTAAAACCATTCTATTCTCTTTTAAGCTAATTTTGAATACATGGAATCCAATTACAGAAAAAAATGAAATTGTTTACATTATAAAAATATATTAGTGGAAAATCATCAAAAGTACATATGAAATTATATGTTTTTATAAATAAAGAACAAATTTTCAAATGATCTTGCACAGTAATACTAAATTCAACAATAAATTATATACGGGTAATGTGCTCAAATTAGTACCCAAAACACTCTAAACAAGTAATAGGGCAATTCTCATGTGTGCTCACATACAAGATAAAAAGCAGTTTTGAAAAATAAAAGTGAAAGATCCACATGTTCTACTATTATAGAGTGTTCCAACTAAAAACAATTTTGATCCAAAATTCCAAAAACTGATGACTGGTCACATTTCAGTTTTGCATTCACTTCCATTGTTAGGCTTTTAAAAAACGTATCACACACACATAAGTAGTGGACTTTTGGTTCATGTTTCTGAGATTTTTTGGTCAAACTAGCAAAAAAATATTGAACTCTGCTTTGGAGAACACAGAACATTCCTTTTCTTTGCTGACAAACTGAGCAACCACATAGGCTCAACCTAACCAAAGTATAGGTTATATATTTCTCACTAAAAAAGGGAAAAAAGAAAAAAGAATACAACCACGAGAATGGGATTCTAATTATACTCCATGTATGTATAATATGTTAAAATACATTCCACTGCATGTATATCTAAAAAGAACAAATAAAAAATAAATATGTTACAAAAAAATACACACATTTTCTGTTTTAAGAGGAAGCAGTAAATTAACTAATTAACTTAGGTGGTATGTGAAAACTCCATCTCCTCTCTTCTTTCCCTCATTTTGAAATAAAGTCTGCCTGGCATGGATAGCATGGGATAAATGATCCCTAGGAGTGTTTTAGAGATGAAAATATGAACTGCTCTTATTTCATAAATTACATAATATGTATTATAAAAAGTGTGCATATTATATTTGTGTATATATATACCACTAACATAAACAGGCAGGTATGAAAATAATGGAAATAAATATAAACCACTGCATGAAAAAATATTGTAAGACAACCGAAGGCATAGATTTCAAAATAGTATTTTTTTTTCTTCTCAGAAAACTTATAATTATACAAATCTTGTGACAAACTCTATTGTAGAAGTTTTTTTTTTAGCATTCTAAATTTCACAAAATCATGATTTCTTAGCATTTTTATGTAACTATATATCTTTAAAACATACTTCTTAAGAAGTCATTGATTTGTCTTCCTAAGTGAAGGATATAGAATAAATGCTTTTAACAATCATATTTGAAGTTGAATTCCAAATTCAGTCTGGCAATGTCATCCTGTGACCTTTACTGCTTACCATTCTTACTTCTCACAGGGGTAAAATCAAGCTGGAGCCATCAGGAATGCAGCTCTGGTGTTTTTTAACCAGCCAGAGGCTCGTGCCACCACTTTTACCCAGGTTACCCAAGCAAGTTGCACATGTACAATCACTTTCTAAATGATTTTGACTGGCCTGCATGCTTCTCGGCTCTGTTGCTTCCCCTGCCGTGGCAAGGAAGCGCTAGACTCGCCCAGCTGCTCTCTGCTGAAGCGTGTGACATCACAGCATGGTCAGGAAAGATGGGAAGTCCCAACATCACATTTAGTTCTGCTAATGAGTTTCCCAGTTTACTCTTTTAGACTTTTAAAAGCAATAATTGCATGCTCATAGGATTTATAATATCTATTTTAAAACATGATAGGAATGTTAAAGATTCAATATAATCAAAGACTTAAGAGAGCATGCATTTTTTTTATTTCTCTGCTTTTATTTCATCAAATTAAGACCACAACCTTTTTGTTGTTGATGATTCAGCCCTTATAAGTAAATGTTATTACTAAAATGAGTCACAGTTTTTTGTCCTGATAGTACTGCCATTTTCATATCATTATACTCAGATTCATGTATATAATCTTTAATTCATATATTCCAGATGGAAATGCTTGCTTTCATGTATTTGGGAAAGGCTCTAAAAAAAAAAAAAAAAAAAAAAAAGTAGGGTAAACATTGAGTTTTTGGAGAATAAGGGCCATAGTCTGTTTATGCATTTGGACACCACATATCTTGGATTTTCAGTAGGTTAGGAAAGTTGTTGATTTGAGTATCTGTAAAACCATAATGATCTTTGTAAAGTAATTTAAAGAAGGAAA